AGTAAAACATCCGTAAATCGAAACTCAAAAGTGACCCTACAAGGCTTCCATAGTAAACTAATATTTGCACCAAAATATATTGAGAGATTGAACCGCTACCCTTTTGTACATACGCTGGGCATTCCCTGATGTGATGGCCATGAATCAAATTTGATGATCAGTCAACAACAAAAAGTTTCAGTAAATTACGCAAAAGGGAAACGATGTGCCAAAGTCGCGATTTTCCAGCTAGCAACATCCGACTAAGATACTATTCGTTATACCTGTAGTAGTTTCTAATAACGTTACGATTTAGCTCGCAACCGGAAGGTCAGTTGTTTAACTCATGTCCACAATAATGCAATTGTAATCTCAGGCAAATACGAGTACCAGTCGGGACAATATCACTGGTTATATAACCGATACCACTGGTTTTATGACCATTTCCAGTAGTTGAACGAATCTAAATGTGTATTCACAGATTGAAAAGCATATATATAGGTTCATTTCTTTCAATAGTACATATACTTTGTGTGCCACGCAACAATTTAACAACATTATAACAAGTAGGCCTATAAACATGTGACAAGTGTCCTTCGGCAACAAACATAAGTTGCTTCTGAGCGAGGAAGTGGGTTAAAAAAAAACGAAAGATCAAATACAATGTGTTTTCATAAATATCATCTGAAACTACATTTACAGGTTAGAAACTTTAAGAATGCATAAACATTGTGTAAGTTTGATATAAAAAATTCATGTGAACTTGTTTTAAACTATTTTTTGAACTTTGTCGACGTTCACTCATTGGATATGGAGGTCACTGATACGTACAGTTATGTATATAAAATGCACATTCAGCAAACGTGGAATTAGAAACATTGTTGTTACTGAAGTTATATTCATTTCTAGAGCATCGATCTAACTTTGTAGGAGAAAAATTGGTTAACAACTAAAGGACATCTAAAGCCTAGATGTAGATGATTTTCTTATATAGTCATTGTAAAATGGATATATATAAAAATGGAATGTTGTTGCTCATATTATTGTTGAATCATAGTAGTTATGGGAGGTTAATTAGTGCTAAACCGAATACAGGCATATGTGGTTTTTAGTAAAAATCTAGTGAACTGATATTTATTAAAATCAAAGCATGCCGTCTGAAATTCTTTCATATTTGGGACTAATAGGGGGCAATGCATCCAGTAGCGGAAGGTTACGGGGTTCCTCTCCTGTGGTAACTCGAACCTGAATCATTCCTGCACTGCATTGCTATACAAGTCATCCTTCATAGTCAAGTCAATTTGTGAAAAAATACTTCAGAAAATGGGAAAAACACAAAACTTGGTACAAATAAACTTTGGGCTATATAAGAAAAAAATGAGCAAGGAACCCATTTCTGAAAATCCAATATGGCCGAAAATATCCAAGATGGCCGCCATACATGCTTAAAATTTCTTAAAGACTTGGTTTTTTACAAAAACGACTTTATAAATCCTTACATATTAGCGACTCATAAGTATAAAATAAGTTGTTATCAGTATTAAAACATAACGTTGTCTTCAAAGAGCAATATATTTAAAATATCCCATTATTTCTGGTTTGTCATTAGTTTTCACGACTCTTGAAATCGGATGAAATTTAAAAAATGTCGAGTTTTAATTTTACTGCTTTCTAAAGATGTTGAAAAAATTATGTTTTAACGTTCTATGACCTTTTTCATTTACAATGCTCACTTCACAAGTACTTGAACAGATTAAACATTGGTAGTTAAAATTAAATACGTAATGTTACGTCAATGATTTATAGTTCACCTGGGACGTGAACTGGACTGCGCTTCTTTAATTTTACAGAAATAATATCATCACATCGGTGTTTATCGGCTATTTAACACCGGTTTGGAGTTTTGATGCTAGGAATTGACTTTTTTGGCGAACTTAGAAAAGATTTGCATTGGACAATACTTTTTTTTCAAAACTACATGTACTTAATACCAATGTATATTCACTTGAAACTATATAAATGTCTTCTTGATTATGATTGGGGTTCACTTTCCAATGTACATAACACCATCTATGACATAAAATTATGACTGATTTATTGCCCTTTGAAAATTTGATTTAGGAAATGTTTGGTTGAAGCTTTGCATGCAACACTATTATGATCATCAAAACTGCTAAAGGTTTTACTCTTGAAACGTTATGCCTGTCTTGGGGATCATAGTCTGAAATCCATATGGCCCTCTTTTCATAAATTAAAATTCTTATACATTTATAATCCAGCATGGTGAGGGCCGCCGATGTAGCGTTCGTATTGGGCGGTGTACTTGTGTTGGTGTGGGCCTTTGTGGGCGTGGCTGGGGTATGCAGGATGTCTCCTAAAGACCTAGTTACTCTACAAGACTTTGAAGAGGTTGGTGTCGCGCGGTTATGTCATAATATGAAAAATGTCTACGTGTTTTTTTTAAGTAATATCGGAAAAATGTCGAATTTAGAATCGAGACATCTACGTTAAAAAATCGTTACATTCAATCAAATTTGAGTTAAACAAACCCTTCAAAAGGCTTTTTATCCCGAAACCAAGTGCCTATGCCTAAACAAGTGAAGTCATATTGGTACAAAAGCAAACAATACATTATTTATATATTTATTATTATGGCTGTAGAAACCGAAAGTACAAAAAAACCAACCTTTTGTTGACATTTAATCGGATTTGTTTAAAAATGAACATCAGTGGGCATATTTAAATTACAAATTGTTGTGAGACATATTTTCAAGCATAAGAGATACCGGAACAGTCATTAGATGTCAAATATATGTAAATTCGTGTTTCTATTTACATCTGAAACCACTTGGTAGAAATACTTCAATCCGTATTGTTTCCGAGTTTATTATGGATAATAACCGAGGCAGTTCCGATCGAATGGCGATTTTGCCCCCCCCCCCCCCGAAAAAATGTACTTCCCCGTGGGCAAGGGATTACACGCTCTCTTCAGAAGCGAGAGGTCCGTTCCAAATCCAGACCAGGCAACCCTTTTTCTACTGTTAAATAAGCAGCAATGTGCAATAAAGCAAGATTAAACACACAGATTGAAATATTCACATTTCAGTTTGCATATCAATAAATAAAAATGCAATCAACAGGCATGGATAAATGACATTCAGATATAAACATGTCATCGAGATACATACATGTATACCTTTGAGTGGACATTCCCCTCCGTACAATCTTGAATCTTTTTACTTTACTTAAAATCTTACTATATTTTTCTTTTTTAATTTATTTGAAATACTTCTGCTCATCTGGTGGCATGCAACTTTAACACCAGCGTAGGAATTGACCTTTTTGAACTTTGGTTTGAATATTTTGGTAAAGTATAATCTTTAAATCTATTATATACACATTTATATTCACTCGAAGCTTATTAAATATATTCTTGGTCATGATTGTTGTTCCCTTTCCAATGTTTATAACACAATCTATAACATGGATTCTTACTGACTTATGGCCCTTTGAGAATTTAATTTTGCACGCGACACTAGTCTAACTATTAAAGCTACTTAAAGTTTTCCTCTCAAAACTCGCATATCTTGGGGGTCATTACTCGAAAATCCACATGACCCCTTTGTGAGTTTTTTAAACTACTGCATGATGGTATTCAATTGAAACGTTACTTAACTTCGGAACTGACTGAAAGTCTCTTTCCAAGACCCACAACTATGGCAAGAATTTTTAATGAAAAATGGCCCTTGGTTTCTTGGAAATTCCATGGTCACTAGCTCAGACTCATATAATTATTTTGAAGTGCATCTTCAAAAAATAATAATGATAGTAATAATAATAATAATAATACGATCAAAAGATGAAGATGTTAATGTAAATAGAAATCGGTTTTGATTAGCGATAACAATAAACTAAAAGCTGTTATCTATCTGTAACGTCAGAAACGTCATTCTAACTAATCGCCGTATAAAATGCAGATTTTCTTTCTCTTCTTTTTGCAAAAAATGCGGTTAAACACATTTTAATACGAACTTTTACTTGAAATTTTCATCCACAGGTGATGTTAACGTCTCAACTGTGAACCATGCTTACCACGTTTGTCTTTAATAGATATCGATCTGCAAATAATTAAACCAAATAAATGATTTTTTGCTATTAATGATTTTAACTTTCTTGCAATGTCATATTTTATCAATTTCCTTGTTTGATTGAAATAAATAATATATGGTTACTTTTTAATTATTATATTTCCCGTCTGACCTTACATCTGATACCGCAATATAGCTTAAAGAAATATTGCACTCAAATTTGAATTTTATTGCTACAGTCTCTTTTTTAATCTGTTGAGTACATACAGAGAAAATATGTTACGTTTTAAACACCACATACTAAAGGTAAAATGGGAATGGCAGTTTTTGTTGTTGTTTTTTTTGTTGTTGTTTGTTTTTTGTTTGTTTTTTAGGAGCAAATTTACTTGAATAGTAATAGGGGATGCAACTTTCCAAACATAGATTGTGCATTTCTTATTCAAATAAAACATTTTCTGTAAGAACTTCACAGATTTATTAATTTTACCTTAGGACATTTGAGGCTCTATTAATTTAGCAGTATTGTTAATCTTGTCACATGGTATACCATAAAACAAGGATATAACCACTGATTTGGCCATGATGATTTACATTTCAATACAACTTAAAAATATATATTTCCTCCTCGTAAAGTTGAAGGTTGTAAGGTTGACGAACTATATACAAATGCATGATAACTGTTTGACCCTCAATTACGTTTTCTCTTCCGTAGTTCTGACTAATCTATTGCTTAAGCGCTCTGGATGCCTTTTTTTATAAGTTTATGCTTAAGGATATTCTTAAGAATAATATGCAGGGCCTTAAAATCCTATCTCAGTGTGGTGTTTGTGGAAATCTTTATTTAGAAATTGAACAACATCTGCCTAGGGCAAGTGCACGAGACTTTTTGAAATATTTTCCCGTCTGATGTATGACTGTTTTTTGTGTGTGTGATTTTTGGTTTGTTTCCCAAACACAACGTCATTCTGAATTTATACAGGAATACGTGCGTATTCATAGATTGTAGATAAAGGTTTGAATTTATCATTTATTTTGTTGTTGTTGTTGTGATAATAATAATATTAATTATTATTGTTACTATTATTATTATTATTATTATTATTATTATTATTAAATGCATTATAGAATTAAATGCAACGTTTTACCAAGAAAACAAGATAAAGACACATTGATTCTCTGTGTACATATTAGATCTAGAAGACAAGTATCTCTGCTTCATAATATAAATTAAAATTATTATACATGTATAATCCAGCATGTTGAGAGCCGGCGATGTAGCGTTCGTGTTGGGCGGTGTTCTAGTGTTAGTGTGGGCCTTTGTTGGCGTGGCTGGGGTATGTAGGATGTCTCCTAAAGACCTAGTTACTCTGCAAGATTTGGAAGAGGTTGGTTTCATGTAATTATGTCAAAATATGGAAAAATGCCTACATGTATACAGAAGAAAATTATGAAATAAAAGATATGCTTTGTTACAAGAAACAAGTTTTCAAAAGTAGTGAGTTTGCGTAGAAAATATTCATATGAAATTGTCCCAATTCCGTTTGTTTTTTTTGTTTTTTTTGTGTTTTTTTTCCATGTCGAAATCAAGCGCGCAACTGTAAAACTTTGTTTTGAACCGTTTGATTAACTTATAATAAAGAATGTTATAGATTTTATAGAAAATTGAATAATTCTAAACAATATTGGCGATTTTGCACAATTGTTATGAAATAAAGCAACTGTCTGGTCAAGACTCTACATAATTTAAAAAATATTTTCCTCAGATAAAACAGCTGTATGCTTAAGTACATAATCCACTTAGCGCGTGTCATTTTTGTCCAATGAAAATTGACTTTACAAACAAAAATATCTCAACATAGGCATATAACTTTTTTCATTTATAGAAAGTTGACGGAATGGACTGGATACAGATTTACGTCTTCGAGGACAGAAGTAATCAAAACTATGGAAAATGTAACGTGAGATGGAACTTGCCGCCGGACTCTGACGGCTTTATTCGCCGGCAACTAATATGCTAGTAAATATCTATCATTCTTGTTCTAAAGATATAAATTCGTGTCTTTACTTAATACTCTATTTCGGAAACCTTTGGTGGCTTATTTGTGCCATGTTGTATTTTCGATGTTCGAAAGTACGACAAAGTTTTGACTGACGTATTTTCATGTTTTCTTCTGGCACCTCGGAATACCAATTGTTTTAGCTATATAAAAAAATATATAGTTGACTTTATTACGCATTTGCTCTCTCATTGCTAAGACATCCAAGCTGCATGTAGGCCTATCCCGTAATACAACTTCAAACAAGGTATTATATACATGACATTATTTGTTAAAAAAACAATCGAAGTTTTTATCTTTTTCTAATAAAATGAACTTTGGGCAAACGACATGCATATATGATAACTAAAAAATTCCAATATGCCAAAAAACAGCTGAAATTACATGAACATTTTGTAGCTGAAATGATAAAATTACTACATAATAATACAATGTATGTAATATTTCAATTTTAAATAGTGTGTCAAAATGACATACATATAAATGAAATATGTTTTGTGGTTAGGAAGTCATTGGTTATTTATGTAATATATAAATTATGTTAGAAATAAGCAAATTTTGCAATAACCAATATATGATTGATTCGATTTTCTAAGTTAAGGTTGACTATGATTAAGTTATTGACATTTTCAGAGTGTCAATCAAAAACTTGTATGCAGGCTGATTTCTATATATTACTTTACTGTTTTTGTTGTGCGGCGTGTTGTCGCAAACACGATGACGCGCTCCATGACATTACAGCAACACGAAAGATAATTACAAGGTTGTGTTTAAAGACATATCCTGGAGTAAGATTCTACGCGCAGAATTTTTTCCTTTTTTGTACATATGTTCTATGGGTTATGTAGAACAAAAATCAGGTTTAAAAATAGGGGTCACCATGCTCGTTTTTTCACAATGTCGCTTTCTCAAGGGCCATTACTCTGTATGTCTTTAAAAAATGATGTTCAGACAATTATAATCAATAATTGTAATAAAAAACCAGAAATATACATAAAAGTCATGATTTCTTCTTCAAATGATATTTATTGAGCATTTTAAAATACAACAGATATAAAAAAACAGTACATTTTGGGTAAAAAAAGATGGAATTTATGTCTAAAACCTTAAACCGAAGGGTTGATGAACAGACAAAATTTTGACATTTTTGTCTGTGTTATGGGTATGCTTACAGAAAATATAAAGAAATATATGCCTTACCATGCTCGTTTTTGAGTAAAATGGCAAGTTATGACCTCCCCTTAATAGTAAAATGTGGCTAAATGATCATTTTCATGATTTGTAGCAGTTATAAAGGGTCTTCCTTGGCTACGATGTTTGACACGACAAATGGAAACAAGTCCCTTTGTCATCTTGTCATTTTCTCTTGAAAAAATTTAACACGACAACTGTGATATTAATACTTACACATAATAGTTTTTAATAGATTCACATGCTATTTTGAAAGTTTTTTGTTTTAATTGATAAATTTATATTTAAAGCTCAGCAATTTCAACTACGAAGCATGCGAGGACTTTGAAAGAGCTTTGAAACGATCCGTTGATGAATGCGGAAGAGCTCAGGAAAATGCAGGTAATTATAACTGGCAGGACAGAATGGAAATAACACATGCAAGCGTCCCGCATTTCCGAGAATTGGTTTATTTCTCAAAATGATGGCGAAATTGAATGTTTTCTGAACCAGAAAACCCGCAATTTTGATAAATGTATCCTGGTGTTGCTGAGAGGCAAGTATCTGTTTAATGAGAGTTCTTTATTTATTGGTCAAATAATGTGTGCAGTTGAGTATATTTACGCCAAGACGGAAAATAACAAATGTAAACAGCCCCAAAAAAATAAGTTCAGAAAAGCATAACCGGAACAAGGCGAGAGTATGTTTAACACAACCAAACCATGTCTCCAAATATCGATTATTGTATCATAGTAGGTTTTTTTTTAACTACTCTCAATGTATTCTTCTATTGAAGTTTCATTGTTTTAATTGGAATTTCCTTAAAATCACTTTGACTTCCTGTAAAATTTACAGGGAAGAATTGAATATAAGAAAACGAGTTTTCATTGGTCATTTTAAAATTACAAAATTGTTACGAGCCAGGCGTAACGAGAAAGAAAAGCCAGCAACAAACTTGTAACAATAACAAATTTATTACAGAAAAATTATTAAAGAAAAATAAAATAACAAATTACGTTTACAAATACCTGAAGTCCAAATAAAATGTTTAAAAACTAATGTTGTTGATCCGGGAAAGCTTTTTTAATAGCACAGTTAATCAAATTAAAACAAGAACATTTAGAATAAATTTCCCCCCATAAAAACCCCAAGAATAATTAAAAATCCCCAAATCCCAAAAAATCCCTTTTTTTCCAGTTGAATAATATCCCAAAAAATTGATTTTTAAAAAATTTGGATGAAAAAGGGAATGATGACTTAAAGAGGTAAAGGTAATGAAAAATGTCATCTATAAATTAAATAAGAAAATTTCTGAAAAGTCTTCCATTTTTCTACAGTAATCATAATCTAGCAACTCACCAATAAAGTATTCCCGAAGTTCTATCTATATAATGCTGAGTTTTTCTAAAGTAGTTAAGAACCTTCTAGTTATACATGTGATATTAATGTTCTAAAATAGAACAATGATAAATTTGGAAAAACCAACTGTCAGATACAAACTATTATACATGTAATATGTTGCATACATAACACTTCCCCTCTTCAAGAAAAAGAAAATATGAATGAAATGAATATTTCTTTTACATAATTCAAACAATGTAACTAACAAATAACATAGGAGAAATGTTAAACAATTTTATACTTCATATACTATGTGTATTACAAACAATAGCAAACAACAACAAAAAAAAAATAACCAATCATATCATATATATTGTTAATTTAAAATACTGCAAATAACAGTTTAGACACGTGAAAGTGCATCAGGGATCAAATTATCTTTCCTTTAATGTGTCTAATGTCAAGAACTTATTCTTGCAAAATAAGCTCCACCTCAACAACCTTTGATTTTTTGTTTTTAAGTTTATGCAAGAAAGTGAGGGGATTGTGGATCACTTAAAGACAACAACAGGCAAACTTTGAAGAAGTTAGAATAAACTTCAAATGCTGAATAGCAAGAATAAGAGCAAGGCACTCTTCTCTATAGTAGAGTAATTTGTTCTGATGTTACATTAAATTTTAGAAAAGTAACAAACAGGATGGTCAACACCATTGTTGTCTTTCTTGGATCAATACACTTCCAGACTATGTCACTAGCATCTACAGCTATTAAAGTTTTTTATTAAATCTGGTGCCAAGAGAGACTGGTGGCACCTCTAAGTATGGCTTTCCAGGTGTCAATGCCATTTGGCACTTGTCTCCAAATGAATTTATTTCTTTTTCTTTAAACCATTTTGTCAATGGTTTGCAATAACGAAAAAATTATCTGAATTTACGATAATACCCTGCCATAACAAGAAATATGCATCAGTTGTCTTTTACAAGTAGGCACAGGATCTTCAGAGATAGTTGACCTTAGCTCTATTGGTTTTACTTTACCCGTCACTACTGTCGCTAAAAAATGTTAAAATGCATGAAAAATTCACTTTTGGCAAGATTAACAGTCATTTAGCATCACTAAGTCGTTGAAGAATGCTTTATTGTTTTTGAGATTATCTCATTCATCAGAACTATGATTGCCGTCATCATGTAAGCGTCCATCCAGTAGACAGATATTACATGTTTATAAATCTCTGAAAAGTTCTGGTGAGTTGTTCATACCAAAGTGAACTTTATTTGAATATAAGCCGTTTGGTGTTAAAAGGCTGATAATTTCTTAGCTCTTATTAAGATGGACTTGCAGAATAATTTTAGAAGATCAACTTTGTTACTACTTTGCTTTTCAATTTTGTCATACAGTCTGCAATTCTTGGTAGGAAATTCATCATTTTTGTTACGAGTTCACTTTACGATAATCTGTACACATCTTATTTCCATTTGTTTTGTACAAGAATACATGGAGAGCTGTAATGCTTTGACTGGTTAATAAGAATCATTAATCATAAATACTGAATTTGTCTTAAGTATTTTTTTTAAAGGATTGTTACTAAGCTATGGACTGTTGTTTTAACTTGGTTCAGAGTTTTCAAGAATGACGTCATGATGTATTTTATAAGTAGTGTGGAATATAGGAATAATGTTCATATTAATCATAATAGCGTTTCAGTTATTCGTTTGGACGTTCTAAGTGGAAGTTTTTCATCGAGATTTTTCAGAATATCAGTAGTTTTCAACTTGCGGAACAGGATAGACTTTTCAATTTCACAACTATAGCTTCATTAAAAGGTGATTGGTGGACAGAGTTTACAAAGATACGCGTGTGAGGCTATTTGCTGATGTCTGGTCAAATATCTAACATAGTTTATCATTGACGAGTTTGCTTTTGTTTTCCGCCTCCCAGGAGTATTATAATATATTAAGGTCACTGACTTTCTTCAATACTAAAGGAGCAAGTATTTGCTGTAGGTTTCCAGGTATAGGTAAAAGGAGAAGTACTCTATGACCAGGGTTAAACTTTTCTGAGCATTCTCATAATATCCTTGATTTATTTACTTTGTGTTGAATTTAAATTAAGCTAGCTAACTCAGCTGCGGTTAGTCAAACTATTTCGAAATCTGATACATATTGAGCAAATTTAAAGATAGTCATCTTAGACGGAATTCTCTTAAAGTTTTAAGGGTCCGGCTGTGACCATTATAAAAGTGAAGCAAGAATTCCTGAACAGATTATTACAGAAATAAATAAGGATGCCTTATCCCGTCTTTTTCGTGTCAAAATATGGACTTATCATATTTTTAAGTCTGGTGAAATTTTCTACTGCACCTTGAATTCAGGATGATAGCTGAAGACGTATATTGAGTATTCCTACTCATGCATGACCTGCTGGGAAAATATACCAGACATAAATTTGAGCCTTGATCAGACTGTACTGATTTTAGGTAAAACCAACAAAAGTGAAAAAATTTCACAGAGCCTTAACAATAGTTTTGGCTTTAATATTCCTTAAAAGGAATAGCTTAGGAAGCGCGTAGAAGCAACATAATATTAATAAGTACTGAGAAGCCTGATTTAGTTTTGGTAATGGACCTACACAGTCAATAATAACTCTACAAAAGGTTCATCAAATGCAGGAATAGGCTGTAAATGAGCTTTAGGTATGTCTGGTTAGGGTTTTCCAACATCTGACAAGTAGACAAGATTTACAGTACTAGATCATCTGCTTTAAGGCCAGGCCAATAAAAATGATTGAGAATTTTATGGTAGGTTTTATTAACACTAAATGACCCTGCATGGGTGTTCATGAGCCGAAGCTTAATATTTCTTGGCGAATATGATTTAGGGACCACAATTGGTGATTAACTGTCACTCCTCCTCAGCAGGGACATCGGGCGGTCGCATTTTTCTCAGTTAAAATCCAATTCTTTCATAATAAAACAGGGACTGTAAAGCTTCATCTTCATAAAAGCTTTTGAAAAAAGGACAGAAATTCAGGAATTTTGTTGTTCCTGGATAAGTGTGCTTGAAGCGTGTCATGACCTTGATCTTTAGTCTTGGAGTAGAGAGTCAGGATATTGAAAAGAATCTGTCTGAGTTTCAGGCAAGTAGGAGTGTGAGAAAAATTATTCATCAAAGACTGACTATTAAGTATCAGCTAAGTCAATATTGAAGACAAAAATTGTTTCTTGATGGCATTCCTTATGACATAGACTCGAGTAACTGACAGAAAGGGTAAAGGTCAGATAATTCCTGCTCAATGGATAGGTATTGAATCCACACAGGAGTGTAGTTTACAAGTGGATTTACACTACCTTATCTCCGCTAAGTCATTACCGTAGCAATAAATGCAACTTTAAAGGGTAAGAGATGCGTTATAACTAAGCCACGGCCAGTTACCCAAATATGAGGAAAAATAAATATTATGGAGAGGGACATAGAAAAACCCACCTCTACCTGATAAGGAAACTACAGTTCAGAAGAAGTTCTCTCAGAATAAAGGCAGTGTATATGCTAAATACAGAAGATTGAGAGCTCTAGGTGTGCTCTTAAATTTACATAGGATTAAGGTGGACCAACAGTATCCAAACAGACTTAGAGTAGAACGATAGAACGGTACGAATGAGAGTCCTTAATTGGGATTTCATAACAGAATCAGCACTTGGAGTGCTATATGACCATATCAAAACTTGAGACATTTGTTATGCAATATCTAGATAAGATCCTGAGGTTGCAGTACTTGAAGTGTAGACCTGGTGGGTTGGCCTATCTTACGCCGTTAAAGGATGCACAGACGTGTGTATTGTGTAGCTCTTTTTTAAGATAAAGCAATCAGAACCAAGGATGTCCATTATATCCTCTTGAGCGATAACTTGAACTGCAAGTACGATGATAAGGGGAACTATGAGCTTTTATGTCATATAGAAGACATTGGTCTCTAGGAGTTTTGGACGAATGACTCAAATAGACCAGACACATAAATTGACTCAGAATTCGACTAGGAGATGAAATAAATATGCGCAGGTGTGTCAATTCCTTTATTAAAGTTGTGGGTGTGATTCCAGGAATATCTACCAGCTTAATACGGGGTGATAGCAGTCTTGCTCTACAAACGCTTTACTACTGTTTTCTCTCATCTATGGAAAAGACTTAACATACATTGATGGAAATGACAAGCGATCTTAACAGATCTCCAACTAACATACGCTCTAGCTTCAATAATTCTCTTTTAATATTTTTTCTTAATGACGAGACATACACCTGGCATCAACATATGTTGATTTCTTTTTCTCTGGCAAATATAAGACCATGTGGTCTTTTTGAGGCACAATTTTCTTTCTTTAGTATTTCTGTAATTTTGCTGTTATAGGCTCCTTGGTATCTCAGGGATGCTAAACCGATTGTCAGATTTAAGTTTTCTTTTAACATTTAGTCCATCAATTTCAGATGCTCCATTATTGATCGACATAAGATTGTGTATATATGAGTTTCAGCGAGCCTTTCACCAGTTATTGGACGCCTGTAAATAGATAAAGTCCAGTTGCTGCTGCTTGGCCATTTAATTTTCAGGGCCGTATGATACTGTGTCAAAATGAAGAAAAATACTTTATCAACTTCTTTTTCTTGGAAAGGTGGAAAGCCTATTATTATTTTTTAGTCGAAAAGATTGACAATTTTTAGAATTGCTATTCTAAGTCAGAATGATTTTGGTTCTCTCTTAGAATTTCTTAATACTCTCATTCTGTACTGAAAGTATGACTTATATGGCTGTGGTTCTTTATATTCTTAATCTTTTCCTCTTGTAACTCTTTGTCATTTTCAACTCGCCTTTCTGTTGTGGTTTTTACAGTACTTACTGTTTTCTCAACGTCTTTGCTTCCCTATGTCTTTGATTCTAATCTGTCTTCTTTCCCTTTTCGATCTTTTACAACTGTGAGACGTGCTTTCTCCCTTCTTTTTCGAATTGCACTTTGTTTCTAGTTCAAATTTAAATGTGACATGTTCAGCTCTTTTGAGTCTGAATTCTTGAGGATTGAGTTTGGAGCCAATCAGAGTAAACGTGCATTGTACAAAAATAATTTCGATACCACAAAACAATATCGAATGTATTTTTTAATGTTGTCATATAGCCGCATTGAAGAATTTAATTTGATATATATGTATACTTTTCTGCGAAGATCGAGCGCATCAGATACTTTTCTTAGCAAATCAAATAGCGTCTGGTAAGAGTTGCGACACTTTTCTAAATTGAAATAGCACATGATGCTTGTGCTGTTGTTAACTCAGAAGTGATGTGTTTCAAAAAGTTTTCAAAATGAAGGTGACACATATTAGAACAAAACTATGATTATCTCTCAAGTTGAGTAATACACGGAGCTAATAATCAAAGTCAGATTAACTGGTAATTAATTTCCATAGTCTCAAAAGAAAATACAAGTACAGCAAGATCCCGGATACGAGCCTCCAATTCTTTACATTATCTTTCTCTGATTAAGCTTCTGCTTACGCAGGCGTGAACCGATAAGAAAGAAAGACGAGCTAACAAAACTTGTCAACAATACAAATATTATTAAAGACAAATTATATAAACGAAAAATACAAATAACAAACATATAGGTTTAATAGCAAACAGTGCAGTTTAATAAAATAGTAAATATAACTAGTGTAATCTGAATCCTGGATGATCCTTTTTGATAGCACAGTTAAAATCACAGTATATAAAATCCAAGATACTAATCTCTTATGAAAGATATGCCCCATTCTGTCCTTTTCAAAAGGGTTTCTAGTGAAGATGAAGCTTTACAATCCGTGTTTGTTATATGAAAAGAAGGGATTTAATGAGAAAATGGGACACGCACGATGTCTCAATAGCATCGACAAGAGGAGATTGTGACCAAGTTCTCTATATAAATACAACTAAGTTGTTAGATAGTCCATATATATTCGATATCTGAACATATACTGATTGTACATGACAATAAGGCGTATTGGAACTGACTTAAAGACGCTAAATAGGAAGTGAATAACATGTCATCTAGTGATATAGTTCAATTAAAAAGACTATCATAATAAAGTTTCTCCATATTTATATCTATATGTAGGTCATAATGGTCACTATACGCAGCACATGTATCTGAGGTATAATGATACATTTCCACGAATGATTAATCTAATGATAGAATGGCTATGAGAATTTACTCAATAGATTACGAACCTTAAACTGCGTATATTACTAGGTACTTTATGTTGTAAATGGAATATGATAGTGTAAAACATTTGTGAAGACCAAGCTGGTAGTCTGATTACAAATATTGTAGATTGTAAAGTACATGATCTATAAATTAACAAAAATCAGTGATATCTCTATGTGTAATATATTGTACCTTATGAGGTAAATATTACTAATCTAGGAACGAGATATACTCAGTGTATTGGTCTATCTTCTATAATCGGAATAATTAAAATGCAACAGAGGATGTCATAGGGTAATAGTGCTTCTATAAGAATGTAAAAGATTATTTGTCTACCACATTAAATTTACTGGATAGTTTATCTTAATATTCACATCTAGTTAACTGTCCAAGGATCGACTTAAATTTTTCAGTATTGTATTGATACAATACTTCACACCACAACCACTTTAAAACTCTGCATTCTGAACTCATTACTTTTCTATTGACCAGTTTCTATCAAGTAAGATAACTGATTATTTTAACATACGCGCGCGCTCACACGCGCATATAGAGACTAGACAGTGGTAGCCCAGAAGTATCTATAGTAGCCGAATCTAACTATTATATTAGTCAATTTAAGTCTAGCTACTTCATGTCATACCTTATAATTGAGTAACTAGAGAAGAAACACATCGTGATAAAATATGATAAGGTCATATTGGTTTTGACACGGAAAAAAAGAGGGCATGAGTATCGCGATCATCAATAGGACGTATCTTTTTGATTAACAGAAACAGATAGACTTCTTGTTCTGTGATCTTCACTACGAGAATAAGCATCTTAAGTAGAATAATTCTTCGTACAGGTATTGAGGCATCACTGATCTCGAGAACGGACTGCATAAGTTATGCTTGAGATAAGAGGACCTGTCCGGTCGGTCATGCTACAAAGATCCGACTATAATCTTTAACATTCGTTAGTCTCCTTCAGATGGGTAAGCTAACAAAGTATCTGTGAGATATTATATAGGTGATGCTAATACGCAATGTGAGTATCTTATGAGCTAAGATGGTTCTTTAATTAATCATTTATTTGCTACTATATCAAGCATCAGTAAATGTAACACAATACAAAAGCTGATATGTTATTGTAATGCAATGGCTCATCAAGACAGAGAACGCAAGTTATATTACTCGAATTGACTCCAGTTATTGTTGATTATTATGACATTTTTTTTCTTAACGAATTTTTCTATAGAAAATTGTTGTGTAGTCGAATATTTGTAATATTTTTATCTTATTGCTCATTTGGTATAAGATGGCAGTAACTGCTGCTATATGTTATCCTATATTCTCTTGGAAACCTCGCATACCAGCAGCTATATCTTTTTGGATAGTTATAACAGTAGATAATCTTGTAATTAGAAAGTCCTAAGTGTTTATGCTACCATAATGTACGTCAATATTTATAGTAACGCTCATAAACCTATGGTGATCGGATGATCAGTAAGGGCAGCAGAATATTGCTATTAAACATTAGGTATTGATAGACGTCTAGCTTATCGAGGATGAAAGTTACAAAGCACTATATTAGTATTAGCTTTTTCCGTGAGATCTTATGTACATGAGTAATAAAATACTTGTTAATTATACTCATATTATTTATCTTATTTGTAAAATCTGCTGTGTCCACCAATTATGAGTGATTTATTTAATTGAAGTTTATAGTTGCTTATATAATCTCGATTTGAAGAATAGTTGTCTGTATTAACTGGATTCACGTCTAATTAGTCTTTGGTATAAGATACACCTCTCCGTTCGGATCTATAAATTCCTCCCCTGGGGAAAATTCGGGAGAGGATTTGGTTACAAATCACTGTCAGATCATTAAACTAAAAGCCAATTCTGGTGACTCATATTAACTGGCTAGGCGATTGGTAATAGAACTACGTTACTTGTCGTAAATATTCAATATACTTAATACACTTTCTTATTGTACTATTTTGCTGATTAATATTTTATCGGTATTACTAGAGAGTTAACGTTATGGATATTCATCATGAGATTTAATGCGTATGTAATTTAAAATAAAAATATGAATGATAGCAATAGCTAGATAACAATACTAATATGCTCTCGTGAATAATAATTCGCGTGTCCCTCGCCCTAACTACACGAAAAACTGAATAATAACAACTATCATGTAACGTCATTTGTTTGAAAAACAGATCTTCCTGAACTTCATAATTTTCAAAGAAAAGTCGAGATCCTCACTCTATATGTAAAGTGGTTCAGGAATCCTGTAAGACTAGCCTTGTAACATAATAAAGTATAGAAACGTATCAAAAATATTTATGCTATAATCGAGTTAACGCAGAGCAAGTCAGGATGTCTCTTGAGAATTTGGATCTCGGATTATTTCAGAAATCTGCGAACATCTTTCATATTGTGCTAGTAGCTGGGCGAACCAAATCAAAGCTGAGGTAAGCTGCGTCTTTTTTGTCATTTAAGCAGAAAATAAAAAGCATTTATATATTCAGTCTATTATACTTTAAAATATGACTTATTACTGTAAGTTAAATTGTCGCTGAGTTTCAAAAGATGTTAAGCTCCACTGACTTATAAATAATTAAATACCTGGAAAAAATACAATCATTATTTCTTAGTTTATTGTTGGCAGTCATAGCCAAAGTGTCTATACGTATAAAACCAATATCATTGTACAGCTTAATTCATATATAAATAGTAACAGTATATTTTGCAATTTAAAGATGTAAATCCTTTATTTATATATTTCAGAATGCTGGTACGATGGTAGAGGCAGACCGACTAACGCTTCCTCCAAACTTTCTTCAAAAGTGGGGTCGCATTACAGAGGTGACTTCCACAGAAATGCTTTAAGACAACATAGGATCATCTATTCTTAAAATGTAACAAACCATGTCTTGAACCGTTTATGTCGTGTTTAGAACTTGCTGTAGTATTAAAATAAATTTACTGGGCATTAATTACGTTTTTATATTATGATTATTCATTTTACTACCTTGACCTTTAACCTGCTACTTAGTAAAACGGATTTGCTCTAATTTGAATTTGGAACAGTCCATTCAATGTTTAAGGGATTAATAACATTGTTGACCGTGTTAAATATATTTCTGTGATGTGAGCATTTCGAATAATTACACTTCGGTACAGAAAGGTAACCGTCATCTGGCTGGCTGCTGAATCTGTACAATGGAATCGTCTGGCTTTGAATTTGGAACAGTCCATCCAAAGTTAAAAGGTTTCAATATAAAAAAACTAAATAAATAATACTGAGCTGCCAACAGTTAAGAACCTAGTCATACATATAAACAGCTTGTTGGTCTGGCGCTATACTGGTGGCAAAGACTAATTAAGCACTGTCGATTTCAACAATGATTCAACTGTCAAACTGTCATCAATTGATTTTCAATAAATCAAAAATCAGTCAGTAAACCAATTTACTTAAATGGCGAAAACAGTTTTTTTTTCCATATCCTACTGATTTATGAAACACGTGTAGATAAAAAGGTGGACATTTGGTTAAGCAAATCTTCTCTCATACGTGGGTTTGTGGTTTCAAACATTATAGAAGTCACTGGTTTGTTAACTTACCTCGTAAATTAAAATCTATGCCTAGCGCATGAAGACGAATAATTAGAATAACTTTTAGAATTTAAAAACAATAAATATTTACCTAAGTTATAATATTAATAATATAGCAACGGGAAGAGATTGTCAAGTGTATTTGTCTCGAGATTCCATTCGATTCCAACTTGGGCTGGTTTGTCTCTAGAGTGATTTAAATAAGTTTGCTTATTTTGTTATATATGTATAAAGATCGTTCAGTATTCAAAAGATAAAAAAGAATGATAACTAACAAATTATTCAATGGCTATTTTCAGTACTTTAGCATGGGTATAGAATACAACAACCACTTAACAGGGATTTAACAAACATCATTTTAATAAAGCAATTAATTAATTAATTAATTTTGATATGATTTTTAACGAGACACAATCAAACATCTTACCAGTTTCAAAGAGCGCAATATAGAATATACAGTCAAACCGTGAATAAAGATCATTCAAAGGAGAAACCGAGCATGTCATGTTTGGATGAACATTCGGATGTGTGTAGGATCTGCATATATCTGGGCGTTTCTCGGAACACTGTAAACTTGTACACTGCTGTAACATTCAAATCTTACAACCAGCAATAAAAACACAAACTACACAGAATTTCAACTAAAATAAATACAGTCTGGTTGTCTCAACACTTCACATTATTTTTTTTATTTTATTTTTATTTTTTTAAAAAGAAGAAAAAAATACTTGGTTTTATTTTTAAGTAACTTTGTAGATATGTCCAGTATGTTAGATTTGTTGTAAAGTTATGTATAGTCTCTAATATCTCATCTATGAGTGGCATTTATGTACAATGTCGTAGGTTTTATATTTGTATTATTTTAATATTGTACATGATGATGAGACTTTAATAAACTATCTTATCTTATCTTATGTCTTTATAAACAAGTGGTCTTTATTTAGAAGCTAAGTCAACAGGTTGCCTTTAAAAACAGGATGATTTTTGTCCTTAGCAGGTTTACGTTTTATAAAGAATCGTAAGTCTTAAACATAAGACAAAAATTTGGACTGGAATAAAATTGTGCCTAGGAGCGTTTTTCATGAAACACTCCTCACTTCATGATCTTTAATACTGATTATACTGTATAGTTACACACAGAATGTCAATGCTCAAGTTTAACAGTATCACATATTGACTGTAAATAAAGTCGTATGTTGATTTGGTAAGCTTTATGTTAACATGACAGACTGACATGTCTGCCTTTAAGCTTAGTGATAAGATTAAACATTTATTTTACTAATTCCTGACACGAATCTAACGAGAGTGGGGGATATTCTCTCTGATTAATTTTAATCTTTGTTCAAACAAATACATTATCTCATGTATTTTTTTCTTCTTCTTCAAATCTTTAGTTATTTTTTATCGTGGATTTTAATGTAAGAGTCAAGAGTTAAACTTATTGATTTTTGGTCTTATCACTATAATGAATGTCAGTTGTTTTTATGTGATTTTAAACGTAACAAAATAAACATCATTATTTTTAGTCAATGATAAAGACATCGGTATAATGTCATTTTTTTACAAATATTTCAGTTAGGTTTTACCTTAAGTTAATAACTTAAATATTTAAGTTATACCAACACTCTGACACTCTAGAGGTCTTACAGCGACTTCCTGTGGAGAAAGACCTCCGGTGCCCTTCCTTGTACTATTTCAAGCACATTGAATGATTTTTTAGCAGAGTTACGTGTTGTCAGATTCAGACTACTTCTCAAAACTAGTGGTGCAATTTTACCAAATTTTACACCGAGTCTAGTTGTGCATATCGTCGACTTTTTATGGTGCATTGAATTTGTCGCAGTTATGGCCCATTTATTATTTTAAAAGTTTTCTGGACTACTCCTCTTATACCAATGCAATTTCAATGAAACTTTACAGGATCGATCGATAGCTCAACTTCTTGTGCATATCACACAGGTTTTCAGGTTGAATGATATTTACTAGATTATGGCTATCATGAGGCGACAAATGTGCTCACTTATCGTTCTTCTTTAATCCTAGGTGCATGATTTATAAAACTTTTACAGAGATCTACGAGGCAATGCTACATGCCAAAGATATAGGCTCTGGCATTGTTTTTTTAACACAAAAAAAGAATTATTCGTCAGTCTACGCATGTGAGCCATAGCACCGGGCTAATTTTGACCTCAGGGTCAAAGTTCATATAACTTTTGTAGAGAACTACAAATTAATGCTACCAGACAAATATCTAAGTCATTGGCTTTCATAGTTAAGGGAGTCAAAAAATCAAGATGTTAATTATAAAAATTCTTAATTAAAAAGATATATTTGTAAAACATGTATGTCCCCTATCAGCCGCCAATTATTCATGTGGTCAGATTATTGTGTCTTGACTTTTGACTTAATGACCAAAAAAACAAAAAGGGTTATCTGCTGCTAGGTAATTGTGACCGTAAAGGTTGTGTGCAGCAATTTTATAAAAAAAAGTTATCACAAACCTTACCAAATAATAAATGCATATATTTTCTGAATCATGTAGGTCTCCTTAATGGCAGCCAATTTCTTAAATTACATTAGACCTTGAAATGTGTACACCATAAACATTATTAGTTTTATAAAACAATCGACCAAGGCAACTTGAATTGTTATTTGGTCGGAAACCGTTTTTACGTAAGGGTGAATGTGACTTTAACCTTTAAATAAATAGGGGTTATTTACTGGCAAAGACTATTGCACCTGTGAAGTTTGAAAGTAAAGGGCCCGTGAGTCGTTGAGATATTGATCAGAAAGCATTTTTACCTATAAGGTCAATATGGTCTTGACCTCTGACCCCTTGACCCTAAAAACCCATTGAGCCAAAAACAATGCATCTGTGAAGTTTGAAGGTCAAGGGTCCATGGGCTGTCCAGTAATTGATAGGAAACAGTTCTGACATACAAGATCAACGTGACCTTAACCTTTGACCCCAAAATCAAAAGGAGTCACCTATTGGGTAAGACAAATGCACCTATGCAATTTGAGGACCAAGGGCCCATCGGTTCTGATGTTATTGATCGGATACCTACAAGGTCAAAATGACCTTGATCTTTGACCCCAAAATCAATAGGGTTAATACACTAGCCAAGTCAATTGCTACCATGCAGTTTGAGGGCCAATCGCCCATGGGTGGTTAAGTTATTGATCTTAAACCGTTTTTTATTTCAATGTCAACATGACATTGACCCATAATTCATTAGGGGACATCTACTTGCCAAGACCAATGCACCTACGAAGTCTGAGGGCAAAATGCCCATGAGTTGTCAAAGTTATTGATCGGAAACCGTTTTTACCTACAAGGTCAATATGACCTTACTTTTGACCCCAAAATCATTAGCCGTCATCTACTTGTCAAGACCAATGCACCTACGAAGTTTGAGGGCAAACAGCCCCTGGGTTGTCATTTAATTGATTGGAAACCGTTTTTACCTACAAGGTCAATGTGCCGACTTTTGGCTCCAAAATCAATAGGGGTCATCTACTGATCATGAACAATCCTCATTACAAGTTGGAAGTACCTAGGCTGAAGGGTTCTTTAGTTATTGATCGGAAACCGTTTGGCCTACGGACAGACAGACAAATACAAAGCAATATACCCCCAGTTCTTTGAAGGGGGGCAAAACTAATTGACCCCCAGTTAAATATTTGATTTCTGCAAAAAAAGTTTAATTTCCTTCACTTGGATGAAAAAAAAATTCATACATCACTAACTTCACTAAGTGTGACCTTGACCTAAGGAAGGTCAAACCTGTGCTCTGCACAATGTCTCATTATGATTAACATGTCTGCCAATATGTTTCAGTTTCCTTCAACCAGTTTTAAAGATACAACTCGCACAAATATCATTAGAGGGCTATAACTCAGACAAAAACCATTCAACTGTAAAATGCCAAAATGTGTACAACAAGACACCAGTAGTTTTTGAGGAGTGGTCGTGACAAGTTTTGTGACAGACAAACGGACATACTAAGATTTGTATACTTAGATGGCTACTCTATTGTTTTTCCTATTGTTCTTTTAGACACATAAGAGAAAATATAGCCATGTTAAGAGCTTACGGAATGAATGACATTTAAAAAAAGTACAGGTTCTGTAGCCACTTAAGTACCAAAATGTATGCACAGACTGACAGACGATGGAAAAGTGATCTGTTAAATTATGTTACCACTACTGTCTAACAGGCTTAACAAAAATGGAATAAGAAAAACCAACACAGAATAAAAGGTATGAATGATGAGCAGTGTATAGTGTCAACATGGAAATGTATGTTACACAAAATCAGTGTTTGACTTTCATACATACTCTAACACATGAGGTATATCAAATTACACCATTTTAATAGATGGCAGTAGTTTTGTGTGTGACTGATGTATCTAAAGTCATGTGTATTTTTAACTGTGTATAGTTTTATACAAGCTCAAACAGGTACAATGTATATAAAAGTCCACATTTTTTTCAAAAAAGATGGCAGTGGTTTTGATGACTGATGTCATGTAAATATTCAAGTTTCAAACTAGATATGATAAAATATCATTCAATTTATGTTGTATACTTTACTGACATATGTTCTCTAAAACTGTATTGAGCTGAGAGAAATGTTCCCATAAGGTAACGCAGAACATCAAAACTATTTTAAATAGTTTTGCATAGAGCCCTCATAAAGTGTTATAATAAAGCAAATGTTCATTAATGAAGCTAGAATAACATATAGCTATCAGCTAGCGTCAGACTTTTCTTGGTTGTTTAAATAAGCTTGTACCGATCGCCACAATGCGGTGATGTTCCCCGAGCCGAAGCCTCGAGCTCCTACACGCTGGATAATTTCTAGGAAGAATGTGTTGCGATCAAAAAGAGGCTTGGTAAATTTCTGCATTAAATATCTGAAAGAAGATTAAAATCATTATTTAAAATCATGCATATTAATTCTCGTAATCATTGGCTATCCAATTGATTAATAAATCTTTAAGATATTTATAAGTTATCATATTCATATATTTATCAAATATATAGAGGATATTCAAGTTTTTCTATAAATACATGATTTATTTTCATCGAGTGGTATGAAAATAAATATTTCATGAGTGGCGGTAGCCACGAGTGAAATATGGTAATTTTCATGCCACAAGATGAAAATAAATCATGTAATTATAGAAAAAACTTGAATTTTCTGTTTATTATATACATTTTTCACTTTTTTGCGATAAAATTTGAAAGACTTTCCCTTAAATTTTGTGTACTGGCAGAATTTAAAAGAAAGAAGTCCGGCAAGACACCAGTGAAAATACGGAAAATATGTTTCACTGCAGTGAAAAATAAATTTTTACAGTGAAAATACGGAAAATGAAAATACGCATTTTATTTCATCAATATTTCTCAATATTTCATTTATAAGTATATAATAAAAAAAAATATAAATAAATTATTGATTTATCTAGACCTTGGACTTTTTCAAAGGAAAGAGTACATTTTGCTTGGCCAGGATCAAATATGACAGATGTGCTGAATGTGAACTGCTTTAACAAAGACCCACACAAACTGTGTACATAATGTGGCCAGATCTCGGTACTCCTTAATGTTGACCATAAGATTATACAATGTAATACTGCATGCTTGTAATGTTGTTTTTCATTGGATAATAGTGATGTTTATAATATATATATACACAAATGATTTATAGATTACATGTAATTTCTTTTTTTCTAATGAAGGAAGTTTGCAGTATAATAAATTTGTTATATAGTCATTATAGATATGAAGGAACCATGAAGGAAGTTTGCAGTTTAATAAATTTGTTATATAGATATGAAGGAAGATTGCAGTTTAATAAATTTGTTATATAGATATGAAGGAAGATTGCAGTTTAATAAATTTGTTATAAAGATATGAAGGAAGATTGCAGTTTAATAAATTTGTTATATAGATATGAAGGAAGATTGCAGTTGAATAAATTTGTTATATAGATATGAAGGAACCATGAAGGAAGTTTGCAGTTTAATAAATTTGTTATATAGATATGAAGGAAGATTGCAGTTTAATAAATTTGTTATATAGATATGAAGGAAGTTTGCAGTTTAATAAATTTGTTATATAGATATGAAGGAAGATTGCAGTTTAATAAATTTGTTATATAGATATGAAGGAAGATTGCAGTTTAATAAATTTGTTATATAGATATGAAGGAAGTTTGCAGTTTAATAAATTTGTTATAAAGATATGAAGGAAGATTGCAGTTTAATAAATTTGTTATATAGATATGAAGGAAGATTGCAGTTTAATAAATTTGTTATAAAGATATGAAGGAAGATTGCAGTTTAATAAATTTGTTATATAGATAATAATAATAATAATAATAAAGACTTTATTTAAAGAGGCAACATAGTTGGGCATGCCCAGTCTTCCCTATGAGCCTCTATCAAATATACAATGTACATAATATAAACATTTACAAACAAAAGGTATGATAAAACAACAACAAAATTACAAATACATTGTAGTTAAGAAACAAATAAAACGAAAATCTAGGGAAAAAACATTATATAAGAATATAAACATTGCAATTCAGATATACATTTATCATTTTATAATACAAATTGATGTGTTTTATTCCCACCAGAGAACCACCATTTAAGATAATTATTTTTGAACGACTGTAAATTTGTGGAATTTCTGATATCTAAGGGAAGAGAATTCCAAAGTTTTGACCCTGAATATGATAAAGATTTTCTGCAGAACTCAAGTCTAGGTTTTGGGATTTGAAGTTTTTTTTGTTGATATGGCCTTAATTGTGTATTTTCTGTGTAAGTAAAAAGATTTTGCATATAGGGAGAAGATTGTTAAGGGACTTGTACACTAAAATAGCTTTTTTTATAGTTTACTCTTTCAGAAAATTTCATCCAGTTTAATTCAGAAAATAAATCATCAGTGGGTGCATCAAAATCTTTTTCCAATATTATTCGTGCTGCCTGTTTTTGAAATTTATGCAGGTCATTTAAGAGTTTCTTACTGCAATTTCCCCAAATAGTGCAACAATAGTCTAAGTGGGGAAGAATGTATGCATTAAAGAAAAAATTCCGTACATGGACATTTAGAATTGTTTTATTCTCAAAAGCAGGTATAGAAATGAATTGCATTTATTCAGTGTCATTTCGACTTGTGTTTTCCAGTTCAGTGTATAATTAACATGTGGACATCTAAAAGTTTTTCGGTTTCTGAGAACTGTAAGCTTTCATCTTGGAGAGTGATCTGGAAATCACTAGAATTACTGATAGTATTGTAGATATTATTTGAAGGTGAAATATACATAGCTTTAGTTTTATTAGCATTTGGAATCATTGAATTCCTGTTGCACCACCGTTGTATGGAATTAAGGTCAGACTGAAGTTTTGTACAAATTGAATTGATACTTTGTCCAAATGAGGTAATTGTAGTGTCATCAGCAAACATGTCTAATGTAGAATGTGATAAATGCAAAGGTAAGTCATTGATATAAATAATAAAAAGGAGAGAGCCTAAAACTGAACCTTGAGGCACACCAGATTTTATATGCTGAGCTTCAGAATATTTTCCAGACACACATACTTGTTGTGAGCGATCACTTAGGTATGACCTAAACCATGAAATTGAATTTTCATTTATGTTATACAGTTGTAGTTTTTTCAATAATAGGTTATGATTGATCAAATCAAATGCTTTTGTTAGATCAAGAAATATAGTCCCTATAAGTTTTTCTTCATTTATTGCTCTGATCCAGCTGTCAATAATTGAAGTAAGAGCAGTTTCGCATGAATAATTTGTGCGAAAGCCAGACTGATTTGGCTGAAAAAGAGAGTTAGTTTCAAGAAATAACTTAAGATGATTGCTAACATGTCTTTCTAGAACTTTTGATAGAACTGGTAGTATTGATATAGGCCTGTAATTACCTTTTTCATTTTTGTTGCCCTTTTTATGTATAGGAGTAACTTTTGCCTGCTTAAAGGCGAAAGGAAATAAGCCACTTGATAGACTGAGATTGAATATTTTTTCTAAAGGCTTGGATATAATTTTAGAACTTATTTTAAGAAATTTGGCTCCTATACCATCTAGACCTGTTGACTTTCTGATATCAAGATCTTGTAGTTCTTTGTATATGAATTGACTTGTAACTTCAGGTATGTTGAAAGGGCATTTATCCTTTGAATGCATTTCAATATACTCATGCAATTTTATTTCATCTTCATGTGATAAAGTTGAGCAATATCCAGGTGCAGATTTAAAGATATCAATGAAATAGTCATTAAATACTTCGGCTGTTCTTAATGGGTCTTTGATTTGATTTCCTTCTTCATCTTGAATATAATTTGTTTGGTGATTTGTAGATTTTCCTGATAATTGTTTGAGATTTTTCCACATTTCTTTTTGCATTGTGTTTATTGTTATTTATAGTTTCTGAATAGTAATTTTTTTTGGAATTTGAGATTAGATTTTTAACTTTATTTCTCCAATATTTATATTCTTCATTGTTATTTAATTTCTTAGCTTTATCTCTTTGTTTAGAGGCATGAAGAATATCAGGATTGTACCAGTCTGGAAGATGCGTATGTTTTACACGTTTCTTTTTAAGAGGAGCATGAGCATTTAATACTTGATTGAATAAAGAGTTAAAATAATCCAAAGCATCATTTGGGTCATCATATATTTCTAACACTGACCAAGGCTGCTGTTCAAGAGATTCAAGAAAATGTTTTTCATCAAATTGTTTCATATTTCGGTATTGAATAATTTGATGTAAAGGGTCTTTGATAGCAGTTGTTGAGATTTTGCGTGTGAAGCAGATTGGAAAATGATCACTGATTGATAAATCAGGTACATTGATTTCAGAGATATTGCTAGGGAAATTAGTATATAGATGATCTATAATTGTATTTGATGTTTGAGTTACTCTGGTGGGTTTTTCAACTAGCTGCCTCAAATTGAAACTGTTAGTAATGTTATTCCAAGAAGTGTTATTAGTAGACATAGTTAATGGATCATAATTAAAGTTAAAATCTCCGGTCAATATGATTTCTTTGTTTTCAATATATAGTTTATCTAAAATTTGTTCTAAACATGAATTCCAGTTTGCAGGTGATGATGGTGGCCTATAAATATAGCCAAAAATAAATGGTTTTTGTTGATTGTTTTTTATTTCAAGCCAGATAGATTCAATGTCCTCATGTTGTAGATCATTCAGAGGAACACAGGAAAAGATTTCATTTACATATAAAATAAGTCCACCACCATTTGTTTTCCTGTCCTTGCGAAACATTTGGTAACCTTTAAGCTCAAATTCACTGTCTGAGAAGTAACTGTTCAAAAATGTCTCACATAGCCCAATAATATCCAAATAAGAATGAAGATGTAGCAAAATTTTGAATTCTTCAAGTTTTGGATAAAGATAATGAATGTTAAGATGGAGAAACTTAATTCCTTGCTTTGATAGATAGTTAGTTTCATTAGAGCTTAATGGTATGGTTTGCTCTATAGCATTGTTATCTATTGTATTTTCATTATTTTTGCAATGATTTTCAATATTTACACTATCTACATTAAAATTGGCATTTGAAAATTTTTCACTTTCAGGATGGATTGTTGTCAAATTTGTCTGCTGTTCAAGTAGGAAGTCACAGTGACTGTTTTCTATCTTTGAAGTGGTGGATAAGTGTACATCCATGGGGGTAAGCTCCACGCCCCAGTTGGATGATTGAAGTGTGGAAAGCCCCAAGGCCTGGTTTGTCTCTTGTGTGGTTGGTACTGCAGTGATCTGTATGGACGAGTGGCCTGACGAAAATTTCCTGGTGTTTTCCTTGGGTTGATGTCAAGTACTTGTCTTATTGTGGCCTTGATTTGTTTAGCAAAAACTGCAGCTCCATGATTATTAAGATGAACTTCAACAGAGTAAAGTGACTGGTCTGTCTGTTGATATATATGAAGGAGGTTTGCAGTTTAATACATTTGTTATATAGATATGAAGGAAGTTTGCAGTATAATAAATTTGTTATATAGATATGAAGGAAGTTTGCAGTTTAATAAATTTGTTATATAGATATGAAGGAGGTTTGCAGTTTAATACATTTGTTATATAGATATGAAGGAAGTTTGCAGTATAATAAATTTGTTATATAGATATGAAGGAAGTTTGCAGTATAATAAATTTGTTATAAAGATATGAAGGAAGTTTGCAGTATAATAAATTTGTTATATAGATATGAAGGAAGATTGCAGTATAATAAATTTGTTATAAAGATATGAAGGAAGTTTGCAGTTTAATAAATTTGTTATATAGATATGAAGGAAGTTTGTAGTATAATAAATTTGTTATAAAGATTCTTAACAGGTTATATGGCCATATACGAGTATATCAAGGGTTATTTGCAATAGAAATACATTTTTAAATATAACCATAACCTAATGGTAATGATTCTATATAAACAACTACTTATATAGGGTCATATAACCAGTCAAAAATCTTTTTAACTGATATAATACTCATTGTGTAACATAGCTATAATTATGTATTACCAAGTCGGTGATGTGTGTCATAAAATTTGACACTATCATAATTTTTCTAACAGCAATCTTATTAAATAATTGATACAGAAAGTTGTTTCAACAACTTTATCCAAAATAAATGTAACAGAATATATACAGGTAAATGGTGAATAAATTCATACATCAAAATATTGATAAATCATCAATTACTACAGCATTTTTTTCCGGACCACAAAGTATACGGGTTTATTCTAAAAGTCAATACTTTTATACTTTAATTGAATTGAGTTATAATGATACTAAAAATATCTACATCATTCATCATACAAAGGTGTTACATAGGAAAATACACAATAATTTTCAAACAAGAAGGCCAAGCTGGTTATATATCACTCATCTGATTATATACTGGGAAATACAACCACATTCAATTTTCTTGTTAGTCACTTATGATTCATTTCTACTCAAAATCTAACCAACAAAGTTAACAAAGTTGATTGTCATTTTCTATGTATACAAACATACATGTTGTTTTTAGGAGGTTTTCAGTATTTTAGTTTGCTCCTATATGTATATAAAGATGGTATATGATAAGATCATGCCCCTACTTGAGAGGCCATATTTTCTTTCTTGGGGTTATTTTTGTTGTTGTTGTTTTTCGTTTGTTTTTTTTGTTTTTTTGGGGGGGGGGGGGGGGATTGAGAGGAGTGTTTAAATGTTGTTTATTTATCTTTTAACAAATCAAAATAATTTGAACTAAATTTGAAGATGGCTGCTATAGACTCTTTTATATGAAGTCAAATCAAAATAAAAAAATAAATATAAAGTGAGTTATTTCTTAGAAGTTATCCAAAGTTTTCCATTAATAATGTATACACAATCCCTAGCGGCCATGTTTGATATCAAATTAAATTAAATTAAATCTAACCACGTTCATACATAGATGTTAACCACCAGATCATTTCTGTGAAATTATTCAAAATCTGGGTCACTAAGTCAAAATCTAGATCAACTGCTTATTAAGATTCTGTACTAAATGTCACAAGGTCAAAATCTATGTCATCTGATATCATGATTCGTTTTTCACTGTGTCCTAAAAGGAAGTGTATTCATAAAATATCAAAAATTGTGATACCTTAAATTTGGACTTTGTGAACCATCAGTTGTCTCCCCTGGATCAGCTTCAGCGTCAACAAGTATTCCGTTCTTACGTAAAATGTCAACGTCCTGACCTATATCACAGATCTCTTCATATTTCCCTACCTGTAACATACAAAATATTGCATAACTGAGTTAAGGTCTTACCTAGTTTGAAAAAATTCAGTTTGAATTCACGTTATCATATAGTATGCAATATAAATCAGAAAATAACAAAGTTAGTGTATAAATTTTTATAGTCACATGACACATTAGTAGAGAGCTTCTGTTATTTAACACTTAGCCTGCTGGTGGCGACAAATTTTACTGAGAGGCCAGCATAGTTAAGATCAATGCACCCTGTTAGCTATTCAGTCAATAAAAATTTTGAAATCTGTCCCAACAAGGATGAAAGTTACTAAAACATGATCAATTCCATTTATTTAGCATGTTAAGCATGCATGTGAACTCTCCCACTTTAGGCGGGAGACTCACACTTTCTTCAGCCATATTTTCAAAGATTTTTCTTAAAATAAGGGGTATTTTCACAAATTAAAGAAATCTCCCTATTTTTTGATGTCAGAACTTCCTTCTTTGTTTATTGCAAATTCTAAAATCTCCCTCTTTTTGAAGAAAAATCTCCCACTTGATCATTGAAAAAAGTTCACATGTATGATGTTAAGGGTTAACACACTTAAATTATAATATAAGAAAACAGAATAAAATGTTTCCCCATCAAAATATAAAATATTTTTAGTCTTAGTCTCTACCCCTATTTATAGATATTTGCATAACTCAATCTTTCAATACAAGTATGATTTATTTTTTATCAAGATGTCACTCACATACATTCCATCAATAACAGGTGATCTTTATATCATTTAATGTCAATTTCACCTCCCCCCACCAAAAAAAAAATAGCTCCCTATATTTACCTCTGTATAATATGTATAGGGGGGTTCAGCAAACTGGACCCCGTTCTCACTGAGACAAGATACTGTCTTGACTATATCTTCTGTATGTAGTCCTACATGCTGTATCCCAGCACCATCATGGTCATGTAAAAATGTGTCAACTTGATTGGGACCTTTAAAGAAAATCAATCCAAAGTATCTTATCAATAAAAAAGATTTTCTGAAGGAAGTGTGATAAAGTGACTGTGTGGTAAAATAATGTTAATAGTTAATCTAAAAAAAAAAATTGTACATTTAGATAAAGTTGCTTCCTTTCTTGTTCTAGAATTTAAATATGGGAAAAAAATGTAGGTTATGTTCATGTCAAATTAAGTTAATTAACATAAATAAACATATTAGCATAGTCAGAGGAATAATTATGACATTAAAGTTTATAAAACCAATCCCAACTTTCCTTAGTCAAAATATTTTGATATGGGGATTGCCAAAGCTAGATTCTCAGATATTTTTGTTCTAGGTCAGAATCTCATAGAAGGCAGATATTGCCCATACACAAAATAACACAATACCTCAATGCATAGTAAAATTAGTTGGACTAAACTTTTTTCTGATCTAAGGAAAGTAATGTCTTGAAAGTTTCAATGCAGCTTCATGATTAGATTATTTGACATTTAGAAAATTTTGAATACATTGAAACTGTTTCATGCCATACCATTTATGCACTGTTATATAAGAGTATTATTTAATCAATCAAAAGTGAAACACTTATATCACTGAATTTGTTAGTATTTTATGTGTTAAAAATTAGGACCAGGAATTTTACCAAAATTGTTGTTTGATCCCCACCTTAGTAAAAATGATACTTTCAGCAGTATACATAAGTTGTGTTTACCTTGGTTTGGCAAAGCTTCTGCTATCACAAATTTAATACTTTCCGGATGACTACCTAGCGACAAGCCTGTCTCTGCACATTTCCAATACTCAAAAGCCTTTAACCTTACACCTATGTCTTCAGTGTCTATAACAAACCCATTTTCACTGTCCTCATCACTGAAATAGAAATAATTAAATTAAATTCGAAATTAATAATAATCTTCAAGTGTTCTAAGTGAAAACGGAAGCGGTGCATGAATGAGTCAATGACACCTTCAAACGGAAAAGTTAACCATTTTTTTAACCGACTTCCCACTTCATAGGCTTTGCCTCATTTCATATTTAATATTTACACATAATATCAGTATATCAGCACTTAGCCTTACACTTTTTTGACAAATTTCATGAATGACTTCTTGTGACACTTGAAATAGGAGGTCAGCAAGTCATGAGAGTTGTATTCAAACTTAAAAGAACTATTGTAGGTCTAACTAATTTTAGTGCTCGCCAATTTTTTTAAGCCAATCACCGACGAGGATTTTTCAAATTTTCAGGTTACAAATCTTAATAGAACAGATTTTATATAAACTGGAGGTTTTATATTATAAAACGCAAGTGGGCGGAGCACTAAGCCGGTTAGAGTGCATATTGGATGTTCTTCGTAAATAAGAAAGCTACAGTCGCTTCGCAAGCTCCGCTCCTTTTTAGCTTTCTTATTTACGAAGAACACCCAATATGCACTCTAACCTATACCTGGTGCAAGCAAAAAGACTGATTGCTAGTGCTACATTTAGTAACAAACGGAAATAGATATAACTGAATAAAGATTATGGATTAAGATCAAATATATTTTATACCTGTTAATCATAAACCTTCTCATTCCAAAGCATTTTGAATACCATTCTAGAATATGATTTGTATCACCACAATTACAAGCAAAGGTCACATGATCAAAATGTGTCACTAGGGTCGGGGCTAGGGTTTCCTCACTAGAAACATTGTTATGTACACTATCTACTGGATTAAATCCTGGCAAGAATATACCACTATATTCGTCATCTTGAATTAAAGTGTGTACTACATTTCCTATACAACTTTTTACCACTGCTATACTGATTTCACCAAACTTGTCACTGTATTTCTCAACTGGACGCAACACTTTCACTCCTGACCTTGAGAGTCTTTCAACAGAACTGGCTACATTTTTAACTTTTAAAGCAACATTAAATACTGTATCGAGTTTTCTCGTCTGTTGCCTTTCTTTGCAATCAAAATTCTTTTCCGATTCCACGAAATACTGATCTTGAGATTGGTTATTTTCTGACGAAATTTGTTGCGTAATCAAACAAGTTGCTGTTCCTGATTTTAAAACCCACTGTTTTAAAAGTTTTGTCACACGAGTGGCAGCTAGAGAAAATTTGTACTGTTGTAAAAATGTTCTTTGTAAAGTTTCCCCATCCCTGACACAAAATTCTACGTGATGGACACAGCTGTCTTCCATTTTACTTAAAATTCCACCTACAAAATTTCAATTTTGACAGTTCTACATGCGCCTCGCCGGCGATAAAGCCAGAGTTTTCCGATTCACTTTATTCGTACTTTTGAAAGTTCGTACTAAAGGAGAGGGACAATGGAAAATGGAGTAATATTTACGATATAAATTGACAAAATGACAGTACTGCATATTAAACTCACGTCAATATACCTTTTATCAATTCACCCTATTTAGAAATACAATTTACAATTTGCAAATAAAATTGCACATTTTCATTATAAAACTAGTTACGAGACTTTTGATAGCGAGTATTTCTAATAGAACCCAAAGAGAAATAAAGCTTAAACCGCATCAAATTCCTCACATATTATTGTGCGCTATATGGGGATTAACTGTTAATGCAGCAAAAAAAAGAAGTTATTTTTAGTGATTCCAATTTTAAATAAAAATAAATTTGAATCCTTTTATGATAATGTTAAACTTAACATTGTTGATGACTTTTCTTATCTTAGTGTCCAGTTTAATTTTAATGGAAAGTTTTCACGTCTAAAATTGTTGATCTTGAAAGCCAAAGCTTTGTTTTTCATTAATCACTAAAGCTAGGAAGTTAAACATAACAATTTCTCTTTAAGTACAAGTCTTTGATTCTTTAACCTTTCCCTCATATAAACGTTTTTGACGGCTTCCCCCCCCCCACCCCTCTCTCTTTTTGAGGCCGCAAAACAGTGAGAAAATGCCCTATTTAGGCCCAAACACTGTTTTTTCGTTTGAGAAATGTTGTTTAAACAAGTGATCACTTTTTCTGCGCGTCCCCATCAAAATGATACATGAGGGGTAGCCAGAAGGGGGGTGTGCCCCCTTCTATTTGGCGGGTTTGAAGGGGCGGCAGTCCCCCTCATCGCCAAGAAAATTTGTATAATTTGACTTAATTATCTCGTGGGCACGACATAGTATCTCGTTCCCACGACTTAACTATCTCATAGCCACGACTTAGTAAATGGTGGCCACGACATATTACCTCGTGCGCACGAAATAACACCCCAGTTACACAGAGTCATCGGTGATTGATCGGTAGTTTTTTTAGCCAAACTATGGAGTGAACCAATGACAACGTATTTAACACCGATATCGCCTATTGGTCACCTGTTTGCCACCTATCAACTGCTATTGGGGAAAGATAAGTCCCCTCCTTTATTCTATGTTTAAGAATGTATTATGTGTTCTTAATAGCGGATTGAATTTCCAACTATCAGCGGTTCAATAATTCGGAATTACGAATAAACAACTTCCACCTAGTAGGTAGTAGGTTATTCGAATATCTGTTAGTCTGCTCATTTTTGTGTATCGTCCTGTTTTAGTTTATACAAATTTATTTTAGTTCCATTGTGTCGGAAGCTATATTGAAACATTCTCGAATCTTAAATTACTAGTCCGACGCGTTAACTTCTCGGCCACGCCGTCCTGTTTTAGCTGCTCAATGTGTGAGTAGTGTCCTTTTGTCTAGTCAGTCTGTGAGAAGTGTCCTGTTTATCAGGTCTTTATGTGAGTAGTATTCTGTTCGTCAGGTCAGTGTGTGAGGAATGTCCTGTTTGTCAGGCTTGTGTGTGAGTAGTGTCATGTTTGTGAGAAGTTTCAATGTTTTGTCTGGTCAGTTGGTCAGAGTGTGAGAAGTATCCGGTTTGTCAGGTAAGTGTGTGATAAGTATCCTGTATGTCTTGCCAATTTGTGAGTAGTGGCTTGTTTGTCAAGTCAATGTGTGAGCCATACCCTGTGTGTCAGTTAGGTTGTGTCCTATATGTCTGGGTTCTGTATATCAAGTTAATGTGTGAATAGTGTGGCCTGTATATCAGTATGTGAGTAGCGTCCTGTATGTCATGTCAGTGTGTTAGTAGTGTCCTGTTAGGCATGTCAGTGTGAGTAGTGTTCTGAATGTCATGTCAGTGTGTGAGGAGCGTCCTGTATGTCATGCCAGTGTTTGATTAGCGTCCTGTATGTCATGTCAGTGTGTGAGTAGTGTTCTGTATGTCATGTCAGTGTGTGAGTAGTGTTCTGTATGTCATGTCAATGTGTGAGTAGTGTTCTGTATGTCATGTCAGTGTGTGAGTAGTGTTCTGTATGTCATGTCAGTGTGTGAGTAGTGTTCTGTATGTCATGTCAGTGTGTGAGTAGTGTCCTGTATGTCATGTCAGTGTGTGAGTAGTGTTCTGTATGTCATGTCAGTGTGTGAGTAGTGTCTTGTATGTCATGTCAGTGTGTGAGTAGTGTTCTGTATGTCATGTCAGTGTGTGAGTAGTGTCCTGTATGTCATGTCAATGTGTGAGTAGTGTCCTGTATGTCATGTCAGTGTGTGCGTAGTGTTCTGTATGTCGTGTAAGTATGTGAGTAGTGTCCTGTATGTCATGTCAGTATGTGAGTAGTGTTCTGTATGTCATGTCAGTGTGTGAGTAGTGTTCTGTATGTCATGTTAGTTGTTAGTGTGTGAGTAGTGTCCTGTATGTCATGTCTGTGTGTGAGTAGTGTTCTGTATGTCATGTCAGTATATGATTAGTGTTCTATATGTCATCATGTCAGTATGTGATTAGTGTTCTGTATGTCATGTCAGTGTGTGAGTAGGTTCCTATATGTCAATGTGTGAGTAGTGCCCGGTATGTCATGTCAGTGTGTGAGTAGCGGGGGATCGAACTCGCAACCCCTAGACTTGTAGTCAGACAGTGTTACCACTGCACCACAGCGCCCGCTCTGATTTATAACTATTTTGGAAGTCCTATATACATAATCAGATAAGTGACCAAAAAATTGAGTAATGCTATTAAATTTTCACACCTAAAAAGTTAATATAGCTGTTAAGGTCTATAGTGTTTAACTATGGCTGATACTCGTGTCCTTGCTCGAGGGGTTAACCACAAACGAGTAGTAAGAAAGAGAAAACAATAATCAACTATTGTGTTACACACAATCATCTGTTCACAACTTTTGCACCATATGTGCATGGTTATGGGTAACAGAAATAAAATTTCTAAAGCATGTTATGATATAACGCTCAATTCTAAGTTATAATTAAATGGTTACAGTATATAAAACAAATTTTAAATAATACAGGTAACACATACATATAGGAAAACCAAATGAATATCAATCTTTAAAAAATCAGTATGAAAATAAAACGTGCATTAATTGACCAATTTTTGCAAAACTTGAATAGTTCACTTACAGGTTCGTCAAAAGGTCTAACATACCAATCATTTAAATCCGACAATAATTTCGAACAGTACCTCATTACATTTCCTAATTATCAAAGATTGACTTTTTTCACTTAAGAACAGATAACCGCAGCCTCCCTTTAGAAACAGGCAGGTGGTGGCATTCTTTTGTCCCACATGCTGAACGGAAATGCCAACACTGTCAACTAAACGATTTGGGAGATGAGTGTCATTACATTCTAGCTAAGTCGTGGCCACGAGATACTATGTCGTGGCCACGAGTTACTAAGTCGTGACCACGAAATACTATGAATACTATTGAACTTGTCTTTAGGATCATATTAGAAAGTCACCTTCCAAGGCCCATCAGACATTAATTTTGACTATAGCTCTTTGTTGGGACAATTTTGTGATCGAATTGGTCAGTTTGTACGTACTACGACCTGTTAACCTTGTTTATACGATAACATGAGAAGGAATAAGTCCTGGTTTATTTTATTTGGAAGGGACATTGCCCATGGACAGTAGATAGCCTATAAGGTAAAATTCTTGTCTGATGAATAATTAAGAAGAGATAATTAAGCCATGGTTTATAAAACCCAGAAAAATCATTGTAATAATTTCGAGGTCATAGGGCCAAAAATCAGGGTCACAGTGACGCTAAATGTACAATTATTGACCAGTCAATAAGTAGTATAAATGGCACTTTTACAGCCTGGTGAAGTAGGGACATCCTTGTACTATAACACATGTCTAGTTAATTATGGAAATTCATATAGATGGTGTAATATGATTGGTCATTTATCTCGTGGCACGACTAAGTAACTCGTGGCCACGACTTAGTAACTCGTGGCCACGACTTAGTTACTCGTGGCCACGACTTAGTAACTCATTGCCACGACACAGTATCTCGTGGCCACGACTTAGCTATCTTGTGGCCACGAAATAGTAACTCGTGGCCACGACATAGTATCTCGTGGCAACGACTTAGTAACTCGTGGCCATGATATAGTATCTCGTGGCCACGACTTAGCTATCTCGTGGCCACGACTTAGTAACTCGTGGCCACGACTTAGTAACTCGTGGCCACGACTTACTAACTCGTGGCCACGACTTAGTAACTCGTGGCCACGACCTAGCTATCTCGTGGCCACGACTTAGTAACTCGTGGCCACGACACAGTATCTCGTGGCCACGAGATAAATAAAAACACACACATGTCACCTTTGTGCCACCGTACTTGCAATCATAAACGCTAAAAAACTACAATTATTGAATTGAGATATTTCAAAACGTTTGTGATCACTGATACTCAAGATTATTTCAGAATATCTACCGTCTTCTACTTGCTGCCCTATTACCTTTTTGATTTTATACATGATATCTTATATTATATATACATGTAGTTGATTACAAAAGCTTATCTGGGCGTACATATTGTATATCTTTTTACCATGAACTTAGTTCATTTCATTGTAAAAGATGTCATTTTCTTGCAAAAGATGCAGTTTTCCTATACAAAACTTTAAACTGACCTTTTTGCAACGAAAAATACAAAGACTTTAGGATTAACAATAACTATTAAAGAACGTTTACCAGTTATTCTTTCACAACTTTAAATATCATGACCCGTAACATAAAATTCGTGAACCAATATATAATTTCTTTTGTCTTAAAAAGAAACAACAACATAACGACCAAAGAACACATTTGTTATCATTTAAAAGACTAGAAGACGTGTTGAAGCGTATTTCAAATGCTAAATTATGTAAAACAAATTCTTCAACAATAGTTTTATTGACACTTCACTTTTGCACTTGCAAATATGGACATATTAGCTGCTGTAAGTTCACACATCTGAAATAAAATGTATTTTTATATGTAAATTTAGATTTCCCGACTAAGACACAAATGATCCGCGTCATGACAAAGCCAACGTAATGCGTTTGCGACCAGCATGGATCCAGATCAGCCTGCTCATCCGCGCAGTCTGATCAGGATCTATGCTGTTCGCTTACAAACCTTATAACAAGTAAAGAAACTGATAGCGAACAGCATGGGTCCTGATCAGACTGCGCGGATGCGCAGGGTGGTCTGGATCCATGCTGGTCACAAACCCATTATGTTGGTTTTGTCGTGACGCGGATGAAATGTGTATTCATGGTGTATTAAACTATAACGAATGCCAAAATATATCCTGGTGTTGACTGAAATTGTTTTACGTAGTAACTAGTGTTATCTATTAGTGTTTGAACAATGTATATTCATGCTTGAAATACTTTTGGAACATGCAAACTAGAATAAGAAGTACGAAACCTGACAAGAACCACCATTAGTCAGATTTCAAAATAAGAACATGACATAACATCTTCACATAGGGCGGTACGCGCGAAATATATTATCCTAAACAGCGGAAAATATATGGAAATAATAATAAGATTCTTTATTTTTTTAATTTTATCAATATTTCGATTAACACTTCAAAAAAAGTTGACGAAAGTCAATTAATTATTGTATAAGTATCACGCAATAAAAATTATCTTATACACCTGCTGTTTCATGTGAAATAAAGTATCGCTATTAATTGCAAATTGGTTTAATAGTTCTGTTGTCCTCATTGTTAATGCTATCAATCATTGTGAACTGATTCATTTTTAATGCCTTAATGCAGCTGTATATGTTTTAGCTCATGTTTTTGTCCAATCTGCAGACCGAGACCTACAAAATCAGATCTTGAATCTTGAAAAAAATCTGAAACAAAATTACATCTGTGATCATAAATTATTATATTGCAATGTTTGTTGTGTTAGAAGAGATATTAATGTTTGTGTTAGCATACAGTCAAATCACATTTATCATAGTTCACTTTTGTTTAATAGAAAAAGATTATCAATCATTTGATCAAAGTTTTATAAAAGATTTAGTTTTACTAAATATAAACAATATTGGACGATATCTACAATTCCGTGCCATAAAATGTTTAAAATGATGATTATTTTGAGAGATAAGAATTGCAGAATTATTTTGTGGATATCTTTAACTGTGAATGCAGATTTGTTTGTCAGTTTTCTGAAAGATATCACGATTTAGATGTTTGTCTTTGATTCCATTTTATGGGTGCCATAAATACTGATATACATATATGAGTGAAATGAATATAACAATTTGAGATTTCTGTCAACATAGTTGATCTATTTCCCCGATACTAAACTCAAATGACAAGATATACATACAGGCATGAAAGGCAATTTAAGTCTAAGACTTATTTGGTGTTTTGCTTTAATATCACTCGAGGTAAGTTTTATTCATATAAGTAGAGAATTGGTTGTGCTTTCCTAATTACATTTCTTTTTTCGGAAATATAAGAGCTTATTTGATTACTATTACTTGTTATTCTTTTCAGACGGGAATTTAGACGCTACTGTCATAACTCATTACAAAAAAAATTCCTTTTAATTAAGGCATATAATTTGTTTTGTCATTTCATAGAATTGTCTTAAGGTGTTTAACAAAAAGTAAAACACATTTATTATACATATTTGTATGTGATAATGAAGTAACCCTTTCAAACAAAACAAACATACGAGACACAATTTAAGTATGGGTTTAGGCCATGAGGACTATCAAATATTGCAGAAGCCTGTTAAAACTTTGTTCGTTTTTCTTGTTGATTAAATGATCTTTGCATTTGTGTTATTTTGGGCAACGTATGGCATCATTCCTTATATATAGTTGAGTTAATCGTTTGTCAGGGGAGAATAGACAGATCAAGGTGATCACATGTGGATTCCAACTAATTAAAAACCGTTAACAAACCTTATTAAGTTGTATATAAATTTCTTAAACATTTTAATGTTCCGTGCAAGTAGAATATTCAAAGACTAACAGTTGTAAATATTTTTATTTTATATATTTTCTTACCTTGTCAAGCTCAAAATCCAATTTAACTGAATCAATCCGGTGAAAAAAAATCCAATTCAGTTCAGGAACACGGAAATATTCCAAATCAGCCCGAACCGATTACGTACCGTACAGATGCCTACACTTGCCACTATCGTCTACGAACGGGTCCAATCTAACCAATTTCCTGGAAACGGAAGCATTAATCACAACAAAATAACATAGGAATTGCAACTCGGTTTGATTGAGTCTGTACATGAGGGATAATGAATAAGTGCAACATCCCTCACGCCCCCTAGCAACCGGCTAGAGCGGTACTCAATTCGCTTCTCAACACTTTATAGTGTTGGCATCAAATGATCCCGAAGGACCAGAAAATATAACAACACTGAAGTGACAAGCCTGCAACAATGTAAATGCCGTCTAGTTTTTCTGTATTAAGTACTTTGGATTTTTATATTGTTAAATTGTACATATTGTACATTGATCAGACTTTTATTTAAAAAGATATGCATATTTTAATAAATTTGAATATTTGTGTTTAAGAAAGTGTTATCGAGGGCACAGAACCATACTGTCTGCGGGAATGTAACATGCTCACTTAATGCTAGAGGTTGTCTTTCAAACGGCGTGTGTAATTGTTTAGTTGGAAGCTGGGTAAGTTATTATTCAAGATGGATAAGACTCAAAGTATAGCATAAATATATGTTTCAATCTAACAACTGGTCAACAATTTTGATGATGATATTAAAAAAACTGTTTTAAACTTATAAAAGAATCATTGCCCATCTTACAAGAAATACCAAAATGGATCATCTTGCAGATACAGGTATAACTATGTGAATGTAGGTAGGATTAAATTTCTTACAAATGTTTCCATTTTTCTTTCATTTTATAATTACAGAACGTTTTTCTATTTCGAATATTGAATGTTTAATGATTTTTTATAACTGATAATTATTTAACGAGAAGTACATTTTTTACATCTGAAGAAACATTAATTTTGTTCATATTATTTATGTTTAGTTGGAAAGTAAATTGGGAGTAGAATTCTATTTATGAATATAAATTATGAAGCGTGTGCTGGTCTTACGCTACAGTTCCGTCAATAACAGGCCCAATCAAACCGAGCTTGCAACATTTTCAATTTTGCCGTGTTGGTCTTTCTTTTAAAGGATTCTTATTTTCTCTATTTTACACCAATATAACATCTTCATTAAAAATCCTTAAACGATATTGCTTCTAAAGATTTTGATTGAAAGAGACTTTTATTCTTCACTTAAACGTTTTAGAAATGCCGTAAATGCTTAAATTATTTGTACAAAATTTACTTTAATTAAAGGGTGACGACTGTAATAAAGACAGAGATGAATGCAGAGCTCACACACCACCATGTGGCCACACAGGACATTGTGTTAACACCCCTGGAAGTTATAAGTATGTTCATTAAAAATTGATTACTTGCCAAGCAATTTGTAAACCTGTATTTTCTGCGTGTGTTACAGACATAATTTGAGAGATGATTTTATAAACCAATCAGTTTTTATTTACTTACTAGATCTGATTATGATATACACCAAGGCTATTTCTGTTTTATTTTTATTTTCTCATACACGCATAAATAGGTTGTTATAGTTTTTAGTTCTTCGGGATAATGATTCCAATATTTTTTTTGAATATTGAAAAGACTTAAGCCGGTGTCAGGGTGCGTAAGAGACGTGGTACTTTTAATTATGTCTCATGGACATATCAAATATACTAATCAAAACAAGTCCTCAATTTTCATCTCCATTGCTGGAGTGTAGAGGAATAACATCTTATCAAGACTTTAATTCTCACAAGAGCAGATGGCCGAGTATTGTGTGGTAGATGTAAAAAGTAGCCCCGTACTATACTTCAGTGTTTACAATCACAACTAACATACATGAACGGACCCCATTAAATCGAGCATGCAACATATTTTATGTTGCCGTTTTTGTGTGTCCTTTAGTGATTCCATTTTTTTGTTGTTGTCGTTCTTCGGAATCTTTTGTTATAGTGGGCCCGGAAATTGAGAAAATAGTGCAAATGGTGATGCAAACATGAAACTTTCAGGTAATCATCTTTAAACCACGTAGATTAAAAAAATTAAGAGGACCCAAAAATATCTCTGCCCATTCAAACTGGCCGCCATTTTCAAAATGGCCGCCATATAAATTTGACGAATATTAATAGCTCATTCAGTCAAAAGTTTTATAAAGACCTGAAACTTATTATATGACAAAAGAGATATATCAGTTTTTCATAAAATCGACGGTCATATTGGACGCCATCTTGAGTTCTGAATAGGTATTAAAGCGGATTTTGTTCAAGATTTAAATTTTTGTAAAGGAGAATCTTTATAATGCTTTAGTGTAAGTTTCAGGTCTGTACAAACAATTTAACTGAATGAGCTATAATGTACGTCAAATTTATAAGGCGGCCATTTTGAAAATGGCGACCATCTTGGATGAGCAGAGATATTTTTGGGCCCACTTCACCTCTGGAATTTCTATAGTCTAAAGAGAATTTCCAGTAAGTTTCATGCTTGTATCACAATTTGCACTATTTTGATGGGAGAGACCTTATTTTCCGCTCCACTATTATACTTTATTCTGTTGAAGATTGAAAACTGCTCTTAAGCCGATGCTAGCGGACTGAGGATGCTACACTTTTCACTATCTGTCACAAAACAGACTCTTCAAACCAAGTGTATGCAAGTTTTACTTTGTTTACAACGATCTTGAGGGATCTACCCTTTCCCAGGTTTTAATTCTCATACCAGGAGGTGCCAGGCAGCTTGTACTTGACGTTAGTGTTGTAACATCTGTCCAGTCCTTCAGAATCATTGATCTCAATACTTTAACGTTGAATACTTCTTTAGCCGCTTCCAGTGGGGCGTGAGAAATGTTGTACTTTCAATTATATCTCATCAACAATTTCAAACTGAGTTGCAAATTTCATTTTCATTGCTCCGCTTTTCTAATTTTTAGTATAGAGAGTGGACCACTAAATTATAGGTAGGTATCGAGGGATTTCCATCTTAATTCTTATGATCTGACAATAAAAATGATTTTTTAACATTAATATTTTCAACCTTCAGAAAAGCTGAAGGCTTCTTTAAGATAGACTTGTAGAATTACAAACTGATTGTTTCTAACTTTTTTGTTCCGCTGAAAACCTAATAAAGAATTCCTTTCACAGATGTACGTGTCTAAAAGGCTGGAACGGCGAACACTGTACGAACCGTAGTGCGTCTGTCAATGTTGAATGCATGCCTGGCTGGACAGGAAACACGTGCGATAAAGACATTGATGAATGCCAAAAGTAACATGCTTATATATTTAATTGACGAATGTAAGATAAAAATAAATACACTTGTATATTTCATTGGTAAATGTCATAAACAATACACTTGTACATTTGTTTTCCAATTTTAATTGATTAAAGGTGTCAAGTTGATTTATATTTATAGTTATTGTAAGGTCGATCTTTGCACAACAAATATTTGTTTGATTTTGAAGTAATAGTAGGGATAGTCCCAGATTAAAGTAATAAAATGTAAACTTTATAGGTTGATCATGGCCAAAAATTTAGATGACATTGTTAAGTGTAAAATCTTGAATATCTATATTTTAGTGGAAGCTCTCTTTGTCCTGGTGTACATAGACTTTGCTCTAACAATCAAGGGAGTTACAAATGTCTTTGTGATGTTGGTTGGGAAGGTCAATCCTGTTCACAAGATATAGACGAGTGCGTGAAACTCCCATGTAAGAACCAAGGCACGTGCGTAAATACACCCGGTTCATACAACTGCAATTGCGCAGCAGGATGGGGCGGTAAAAACTGCATAAATGATACGGATGAATGTTTGAATACACCATGTGCGAATAAAGGAACCTGCATTAATGTTGCTGGTTCATTTACTTGCACATGCGCAACAGGATGGCAAGGATTTCTTTGCGATAAGGATATTGATGAATGTCAAACTGTGTCTTGTATGACAAATGAAAGATGTATAAACATGGATGGTTCGTACTCCTGCATATGCAATAATGGATGGCACGGACTTCATTGTGTTGATGATGTTAATGAATGTTTGGTGGGCACGCCATGTGGACCTAATGGTGTATGTAACAACACAATAGGATCATTCAAATGTCAATGTAAACAAGGATGGCAAGGTCCTATGTGTGATTCTACAATAAACGGTATGAAAATATATCTCTAACAATTAAACAAAATGTTTGAAATAAGTAGCAAAACATGGAAGCAAAAGTAATAACGAACCCGATTAATGATGCATTCCCTTTGCTTGCCATTGTCATAATAACATTTTTGTCGATGTCACTCTTATTACGTTTATTGTAGTAAATAAACATTACATTTCCCTACAAAATTTCATACAGGAATTCCTTTATTTGAATGAAGATATCAAACCAAAGTAATAACAAATTACCAATAAAAAATCCGTCAATTACAAGTAATGGATACTTAAAAACAGTTTATATAGCAAAAGCATATTTGTATAGCATTTTGGTTTATGCAATGCTTTGTATCTTTCAAGGAAAAGACGATCCAATGGCAATTGGAACAATTGTAGGAATTGTCGTAGGTTGCGCAATAGCTGTAGGTGGACTATTTGCACTGGCTTTTCTAATACGATATATGTGGTACATATAACTTTATATTACACTTAAGAATTTGAACTCTTTTATTTGTTATTCATTTTGTACATTTAAAATAATTACGAAAAAATGTTAAGCAAAAACATTGGTATATCTTTTACATTACAAAATGAGGGCATTTTTCCTTCTTTTCAGATATTGAATTCCCCATTTATCAGAAATTTCCAATTGCTTTCAGCATCATCCGACTGTTTAAATTTTATCATCATTCGGTGCTTCAAATTCGAGAGACATTTGTATTTCTTTCAGGCGATTAAATAGGGTTGAAGAAGACAAAAACGGCGTCGAAGTTATTTCTGTTGATCATCAAGCAGAGACTATGGTAGGTGAAGGTTCCGAAAACAACAGTCCCTCAACTGGTCAAACTGCTGCAAATGGAAAGAGCAATGTACAAGACATTATCATGAAAACTAAATTCTCGATGAGAAAAGTTGTGTCATAACTTGAACACGAAACTCTTTACAGTGTATTTTTATTTTTCAGTTATAAACATAGAATGTGTAAAGAAAAACAGACAAGTTTCTAATGTCATTTTAACTTGTGAGTAATATTATGTATCCTCGGACTGGGAAACTTCTCCGACATTGTACTTATTTGTATTGTTAATGTGTAATTAATTTCTCACTGTGTACGTATTTCTTTTGATATTTGCCTCATTATGTCTTGTTTAGCATGCTTGTTTAGCATGAGTGACATAAAGAATTGAAAAATTATACTTATAAATCAAGCAATGTTAATAATTTCTTGAAATTATACAATACTGTATCTATAGAAACGAGGTTTTACGCGCATTAAGGAATGGTCAGCTGTGCACTGCATACCTTTAGAATAACCGAACAAAACATTACCTAGACGAATGCCTGTTTTGATCTGTTTGTTGAAATTAAAGGGGAAGCGTTACGACACCATTCCATTACGTTCGTACTAGTTGTACTCGTTTTTTATACTGCGACATGACCGATAATAAAACATCAAATTTAAGCATAAACATAGTATATAAGACATGAAAGGCATCAGACACGTTACCATATCTAACCAAAATAAAAAAAACACACGGATGACCTCGCTTTACTACACTGTATATAAAAGGCGGCTATTAAAGTTTTTGAAGTACGTGTATATTGAATCTCGGTAACTACAGGCAGTTGCACAGTCCATTAGTCCATTATTTGAATACGCAAAGAAAGAAATATTGTCGTTCCGTTTGAAGAAAATGTAAATAAAAAATGGTTTGCAACAAAGCAAAACATTTTAAATTGGTCCTGAAGTTTAAAGCTGATATATGTGAATGCTATTTTTATGTACTTGTGTTTTATTGACGACACGCAAAATAAATCGTGTCATCCCGCAGTAAATCATGCGTCTTATTCAAAATCCTATAAGACTCGACTTCTTTGCAGCCCAATAATGTCAGATTATGTGACGGTTACGAATTTGTAAATAATCTATCGCCATTTAATAAGGGCTATATCGAGTCCTCATTATTCGTTTTGACATAAGAGTTATCTGCTATGAGGTGGATCAAGTATACTTTAAGATATTTTTTCAAAATTTGTAAAATCAATATGTCAGATTAAAATCACTTTAAAGTATTTTTCCTGCATTCCAGTTATACCATGCATGTATATTATAAGAAGTATTATCTTGTTTATTTTGAAAATGATTTTATAGAGTTTTATGAGTTATGATAAAAGCAATTACTTTTATAATTGTTAACAATTTTTATCGTACTAGTAAGATAGTTGTTGCTCCATTTATTTAATGTAAATCATTGATATGTGTATTCAAATCCACCGACATAAGTTATCACATTTTAAAACAAATTTTTAATCCTATGCCTCAGAGCAATCAATTAAACATGCCCGAGAAATTTAACATGCCCCCGAGCAATTAAACTTGCCCCAGAGCAATTAATTAAGATATTAAGCCCTCTATTTTTGGTGTTACTGTAATATTTCTTACCTTTGTTGCGAAAGCGCATAAATTCTTTGTCTAGTAAGATTTAAACTAGCCGCAGTTATTAATTCCTATAATAAACTTGGTAAGTCGTTATGAGGTTTGGACCAAAATGAAAAAAAAATAGATCTCCAGTAGCTTTGCATGACTTCATGCTGACCCCGAAATATCAAAGCCGATGTTCTTCCTATTAAGATAAAGGACAAGCATTGTACCAGTTCTTAACAACGAGACTCCCTTATCATCAAGTTTTCCTTAGCGACAAAATCACGCTGTTATTAAAGCTGCATGCCTCCAGATGAACCAAAATATTTCAAGAAAATCAAACTTAAGAATAAGGTACTAAGTTTTTAAGAAAAGTAAAAATGTTCAAAATAAAAGTAATAATTTCCATGTTATGTGCGATTAATAAACGATTTTGCAGTATTTTTCATCATTTTTCTATTGCGTTAGTAACGCAGTTAGGGCTATTGCATGTTTTGACCCTTTTTGGTAATTTACATGGGTTGTTAAGCTTTTTGCAATGTGTAGTTTATTTTTTTGTTCATTTTACAAAAAATTTTACTTTTTGATACATTTTCAAATTTTTTATGAAAATTAGCATGAATCTGGAGGCGTGCTGCTTTAAGTTTAAGCGTGTTTGTACAATGTTATAAAGATTGTCATATAATTTGGAATAAATAATTAGAATGGAATATAAAGCGTTGAGGTCAAACAGAAAAAAATACGGTTAATGCAAGAAGAAAAATTAAGTCATCAAACATTGTATGTTAGAAGTTTTAAACTGTGAAAAATATAACGTAAGCGTTTTATCTGAAGAAAAAAAAACATAAAACCGGTTACCAAAATTGCAATATTTTAGCAGTACCTTTTTATATGGAATGGAAAAAAAATAAAAAGGATCGCAATATCCCTTTTTATGCAATTAAGAGACAATGTTTTACGGCTATGAGGCAATTAAGTAGCAAGACAAGGTCATTTTATAAAAGTATTAAACGAACACAGAACATTGCAGTATTTTTTTAATGCAGGCGTTTATTTTGTTTACATATAAAGATAAAACATAACTGTTATAACCAATATTTTATTGACTGACAAAAAAGCGTTTTCGTCACGGACAGATATATCAGTTCTTAATGCATGACACAATTATGACAGTGTTAAAATAAATCATCGGCAAGATTTTGATAAATTACGCCAATGTCGAAAAATGTTAAGTCTGCATTAGAAAGACTTTTTCATAAAACATGTTTGACATTTGAGAAAGAAAACATCAGAACTTTATGGACAGATGCATTATATATATCAAGAGTGACTCAAATTAGTCAAAGTATACGAGTGGCAAACATATTTTCTGACAAAAAAAAAAAAAAAAAATAGAAAAAAATATCAAAATTACAAATTTGCGATGACATCACTAAAAGATTTCTGTTAATTCAAAACCATTAAAAAAAGAGCTTTATACATTTAATCAGTGCACTTTACTTATTTATAAGGCTATTGATCTGTTTCAAATATAAATCTTTCTTCTGAAATATTTTAGATAAATCGACTGTACTGATTAGCGTTATAAAAAGAATCATAGTGATACTATAATGTTAATCTCTTAAACTAGTTTAGAATTAAAAAGCGCAGGACGGCCAGAAAGCTTTAAAACAAATACGATGTTCAGCAGGAGAGCAGGTGCTTGTAATCATATATGAGATAAAGTATCTCATGGAAGATGATTAATTATCTATCTCATGGAGGGTGATAAAGTACCTCATGGAGGATGATAAAGTACCTCATGGAAGATAATAAAGTACCTCCTGGAAGATGATTAATAATCAATCTCATGGAAAATGATAAAGTACCTCATGGAGTATGAGTGTACTGTATGGAAGATGATAAAGAATCTCATAGAAAAGGATAAAGTATTTATCTCATGGAAGTTGAAATGTACTCAATGGAAGATAATAAAGTACATCATGAATGATAATAAAGTGAAAAAAATAAAGAACCTCAAGGAAGATGATAAAGTACTTCAAGGAAGATGATAAAGAACATCATGGAAACGGATAAAGTATCTATGATTAAGTATTTATCTCATGGAAGATGATTAAAGTCCCTCATGGAAGATATAGAGATAATTGTTTGTTTGTGTGTAACATGAAATTTTATTTCATCGAGTGGTTTTAAAGTTTACGAGATGAAATAAAATTACATCTTACACAACAAACAAACAAATATTCTTTTTATTTTACGCTTAAAAACAATTTAAAACGAAATTTCCTTAATATTAACGTTAATATTAGAATCTGTTTTCCCCATTGAAAGCTCATTTAGTCGAATTGCTCATCAAATACAAGAAGTCTTGGGTTAAATAAGTTCGACAATCAACGATCAATGGCGGTGATATTATTCATGTTATAAAAAAATATGAATGATTGCTTGTTTTAATAATAAAAACAACAATTCTAGTAGGAGAAAAAGTCCAACCATCCATCCATATTTCTGTTACTACTGCGAATTAATATTAGACCTGGCTTTGTTAAATGCAAGCGGCGCAATTTTTAAAAGTTGTGTATTTCTCGGGAAGACAATAAATGTGTTTGATTCAGGATTTGTTAGTCATACATCTTTTTAAAAGAAAGAAAACTTATATAAGGATTGTAACAAACAATAAATAAGATTTAACAGAAAAGTAAACATTCAAAAAGCGGCTAGGAAATTGGAAAACTCGAAATTGTTGAAAGGCTGCCTAAGGAGCGCTGGGTTGTTTACTTATTCTTCGGGCTGTTGGCTGTCTTTGCTTTTTAAGTTTTCATAAAGCATACGGCAGTTATTGCTCTTAGGATACTTAAATATGCCCAAATGTTATCCATGTGGAAGGAATGTATTTTTCAGACTGTAAAAATACCCCCCCCCCCCCAAAAAAAAAAGAGAGGATTTTTGGTGATTGGTAAGTTGAATGAATAAAAGTAAGTTTTCTCCTTTTTATTACTTTTGACATTTAAGTAATTTATCAATTTCAGCTTTGCTTTTCTCTGAACAGCCTGACATTGTCAGAATTGTCAGCAAAAATAAAATTGAGATACCACATGCGGAAAATCTTAAGAAAGTAGTTTTTCACTGTGAAATTATCAAATATAAAGCCTTACCAAATTTCTAATACGATAAAAAGATAACAAAAAAATGTAAAATTATTTCTTTCAAGAAATCGTTACATTAATAATTTATACTTTTAAGCACATGTCTTATTATTGAAGTTTTATTTAACTTTATTTCAAATTGATATATTTCGAAAAATGTGCCTATCTAAACAAATGACAATGATTCCTCGTGTACTTATACAAAAACAGCGTATGAATGCATTTTCACAAAGTAAAAAAAATGATCTAAGAAAAAAAATCGAGAAAGAAAGCAAAAAAAAAATATGAAAAATCTCAAAGTCATAATATAAGATATAATTCCTTTGCAAAATCCAATAAGTAATTGATAAATGTCAATTATATGAGGATATTGGGTGACGGAATGTCTCCTTTCAGATTATCCTGTCTCAAATAGATATAGCATGATATGCACGGTATTGCATTTACATATGTCAGATAAATCACTTAAATCACGCTGGTAACCTTATCGAATGACGTCGATATAAAACGGAAGTTGTTTACTAGGGTTGCATGAAGCTTGACAACAGTAAGACACCATTTTAAGGCATAACAACGAAGAAGTAATTA